TAAAAACTGCCACCTCCTGTGGGATCAGAACCTCTACTTGTCCAATCAACACTCATCAGATCAATATCCTGCTTCTTCCATCATGGCTGCCGCTGTGTTTCTGAGGAGACTGTTGGGATGCATGTGGTAACTGTCTTGATCAGGAAATGAAGCTTGTGTAGCTTAGGATGAGGGTGCAAACTACAGGGAGGCAGGGGGGGCTGGGCTCTTCTTAATAAGACACGAAAACTTCCCGAGAATATGATTTGTGAAATTTTGGGAGGTCTGGCTGATTTCACGACAGCCTTTCTAGAAAATTGTGATGCATGTTGTTTGATGATGTTTTTAGGTATTTTTTGCAATGAAAGTGTGGGAGAAAGTGAAAACAGTTAGATAGATAGATAGATAGATAGATAGATAGATAGATAGATAGATAGATAGATAGATAGATAGATAGATAGAAAGATAGATAGATAGATAGATACTTTATTAATCCCCAAGGGGAAGTTCACAGTTTCCAGCAGTATCCACAAACTGATAATAATAATAATAATAATAATAATAATAATAATAATAATAATAATAATAATAACAACAAGAGGAGGTCAATTTAGAAGAACTAATAGAATAAAGTAGAATAAATAGCTAAATAACGAGCATGGGGCTAGTGTCATAAGGTGCATGGTCAAATCAAATAATCAAATAAGCATGCATCTTTTTTGTATAATTCATTAAATATCATGAGATTGAGAATAAAATCGACTGTTTGGAGGGTCAATGTGAGACAACAATTGGTTGAATTTGCGCTCGATTGCAGCTTCCTCTTTCTCCAATCCATTTATATGTTTCTACGTCTTCATCATCATGAACTATATGTAAACTAAAGGCTACTATTGATGATGATTTGCACGTAAGTCATCACTTAATCACAGGCGACACCACTATTCTTGCCATTGAAGTGTGGCAGCACAATCAGAAAACAGAAAAAGTGAGCTCCCCGAAAGCCATGGAATAGTGTGCACACTGCTCAGCGTTTCATGAGTGTGTCCTCAGGAGTCGTACTATACCACGTATTGGTGTTATTATTAGACTGAAACATGTTATGTCATAGAGGTAGATCAATATAGAGATCAACTCTTTTGCAATCTTTCCATTTGTTGTGGGATTTTAAACCAATTCTTCCTTGTTTGGTTCCTTTGCTGACGTAGGTAACAAAATGAAAGCCTGTAATAATGAGATTATTCTACTGTTTAGCTCCAGGTGAGGAGGCCATTGGGGGAATCATTTATTAAGCGCTGGTGTTTCTTTTTGGCGCTTTTGGAGTGTGTGAATGTGTGTGCTGCTGTGTGATGTGAATGGTAGTATTTATAGTGTGTGTGCGAGGGCTGGAAGTGGAAGGGACGAGCCAATATTCTTCCTGCCTGGGGCTCCGGGTATTGATTTCCCTTCTCGCTGGCAAGCGCAGCTATAAATATCTGCCGTGCATGGAAACACTAATGACATGACACACTCATAAACACCTAAACACAAACCTGAATGCATGACCACATCCACTGGTGTGTTTGAGACATTTCTGACTACATATCGACCTTTTGTTCACTTTAGTAGTAGAAAAAGAACAAAATCTATCTAGATAAATGTCAGATGGACAATTTTAATAAATTTGTTTCTTGTCATCATTCCTTAAATTAATAAATCAGCTCAACCTTAAGCAGTTTATTTCCTGATTATTATATTTTAAAAGTCTGGCGGGGTCTTTGATGATAACACATTTATATATTTACAGCAGATATTGTCTTAGAATTACACTTTTACTGGTTCATGTGTTACAAGTTGAGATTGTTAGGTTGTTTGTCACCTTAACGTTGTTATCTAGCTACAATAAATCTGCTTTTTAACCATGTGAGCTATCAGGACTATTTGAGCTACATCGGCTCTCACTTAAAAATAATTAATAGGTAAAGAGTAGACACTCACACAGAAAATAAATACTGACTTTGAATTAGATAAAAGATAAAAGATACCGTATACACAGGGGTTCCCAAATCTTTTGATGTCAAGGACCCCCACAGTAGATCCATATTAGACCGTGGACCCTCAAATTAAGAAAGTTTAGTTTTAAGGAACCCCTCTAGTTTTTTTAGTTATTCAGTAAAAACAGTCAACCCTATTTCTCTCCATGTTGTTCCAGCTTCTGCAAATATGATAAACACTAATATATTCTTTTCCTCCTTAACTTCCTTAACTAGTAACCTCCTACAACTCAAAGACCTCTGTTGGTCCCCAGACCCCAATTTAAAAACCACTGCAGTATAGAGTTCACATTAGAGTTACAGTAATTTGAAATTTGAGGGCAAAACACAATAATTTCTCCAGATTGTCCCCCTGATGTGCTTGTGTCTCAACAGTTTACAACAAATCAGTAGAAAAGTTACACAACCTGCAAAGCCTCCTTTCCTTGATTCAACCTGGAGAATTCAAAGGTCACAGACTGCATCAACCACCGTGTCAGGATTGGATGAGAAAGCTCAACCCAAACAGATAGTTAGTAAGCGATAGGCCCGCGTCACTGATAATGAGTTTGACAGAAATCACTTCAGTTATATGTCTTTTCTTTAAGTTCTTTGTGACGAGAGAGCTTATTAACCGAGTTGTTTTTTACAGCTGAAAATAGGTCTTGGCTCAGCCACGTAGAGTCTTAAGAGGTACCAGGAGGTCAGCGCTCTGACTGAGCTCATTCAGGCCAGCTTTGGTTATGTAAATCATAATTTCAACCGTGTAATGGTAAAAGACCATTGCATGCACAACGCTCGCACTGGGATTACATGAGCATATTGTTGTTTACAATGTGCTGTAAAAGAAACTGACCCCAAAAGTAACAAGAGCTTCTGTATAACTGAGGTACTCTGACCTTCTCAGAATCAGACTGGAGACAGTCCCGTCGTTTGAGGAGGAAAATCCAATCTGCTCTTTTGGAAATGATTTGTGGGCCAAATGATAACAGAATAAAAAGAAAAAGCTAATTATTAATTCTAACATATATTCTGTATATTCTTCTAAGTGCATGACAAACATTCATAACAAAGACAAATATTCTTTCTTTGCAGACAATAAAAGAGACTAATTAGGTTTTGGTTCTGTTTTTAGCCACACCAGCGTAGTGGTTGTCTGTTGGTCAATCCAACATTTCCAAAGTAAATCCAGAAATATTTCAACAAATCTTCCATTCCCAACCATATTCAACATATATCTGCTCAAGGACATGTGAGGGGGCAGAGGCAAAGAAAAAAAACAGAGTCCTAGATGCCCTTTAAGATACCCTTCCTCCACTGGAAGAGCACCTTAGAGGGCATGTTATTGTGTTCTCTCCACTAGAAAGGGACCCTATTATTATTATAATTATTATTATTATTATTATTATTTACACATTCGGCAGACACAAAGTGACTCTCCTTTTACTTCTGGTTTGTGGCTCAGTTTGGGGAGGTTGATCGCGTCCACCAATCAGAAGGTTGCGGTTCGATTCCCGGCTCCTCCTGCTGCATGTTGAAGTGTCCTTGAGCAAGATACTGAACCCCAAACTGCTCCCAGTGCTGTGCTTCAGTGTGTGAATGTGTGTGTGAGGCATGTAGTGCAAGGTGCTGTGAGTGGTGGGATTATTAGACTGTATATAAGTAGTCCATTTACCTCTTTAACCACTAAATGCTCCACTTTCTTCACCAGTTGTCTCTAACTGATGAGACTTTCACATTACACTGAATCCATCATTAATGTGAAAATATGGATTAGAGCAGCGTTAATATGTACAGTTACCCCAACAATCAGCCGCAGTGTTGCAGCAGGTGTTATTATTAATGTACAGGGGCAGGTACTGACAGGTAATGCCCCGGGAGCTTTACAGATTTAAAGGGATGAGTCACCGCTGTGTTTGGCCCAGTCACCGTCCTCAAGTCCTGTCCTACTTTCCTCTCTCGCAGAGGTCGTCACAACATCGCCGTGCTTTAGCAACCGCTGTTGCTATGGAAGTTTTAATGAGAGCGAGGCTGATAAGGATTTACCGAGGACTCACTGCAGCATATAGCTGCTGTATGTCTGCCTGGAGGTCAGGGGTCACAAACTAAAGTGTGTGTATGTTTCTACCATCAGTACAAATACTTTTATTTGTGCAGTTTACAGAGTTTATTCCACAATAAAGGAATATTTTTATGGGGCCTCTCCTCTCTTGTTTTCTGTTTCCTTTCCTTATATTGTCATTTCCTTTCCTGTTTCCTACCTCATTCCTCTCCTGCTTTTTCCTCCATTTCCTCCCTTGTTTCTTCCTCTCCCCTCTTCATCTTGTGTCTCCTCCTCTCCTCTCTCCTCTCTTGTTTCCTCTCCTCCTCCCCTTTATTGTTCTCTCCTCTGGAGCACATGAGGTTCAATGTGTCCAGGCTGCAGGGGGGAGCAGGGGGAGGAGAGCAGGAGACAGAGGCCTCTCATTGGATGAAAGTAGGTCAATTCGGCCCACTCATGTGACCCAGCATTCCTCTGTGTGTGTGTGTGTGTGTGTGTGTGTGTGTGTGAATAATCACATAAAATAAACGAACAAATGTTAAAATATCATAAAACTTGTTATTATTTATTTTGATGAGTTCAGTGAGGTCAGAGTTCATTCTGAATGAATGCTAACATTAAATCATCAGTGATCCTTTATTTACCTCAGAATCTATATCATATTTTATATTAATATATAAATATTATTTTATTTGCTGATGGAGACGTTTGCAACATTTTTACCTCACAATTTGTATTTTATATTAATTTAATATTTTCTCTATTCTATACATTTTTAATTTTATATTTTTATGCTAAAAAACATCTGAGGGACTCTTCATTGGACAGCTTTGTGTCTGTGTGTGTGTGTGTGTGTGTGTGTGTGTGTGTGTGAGAGAGAGAGAGAGAGAGAGAGAGAGAGAGACAGAGACAGAGAGAGACAGACAGAGAGAGAGAGAGAGACAGAGAGAGAGACAGAGAGATAGAGAGACAGACAGAGAGAGAGAGAGCGAGACAGAGAGACAGAGAGAGAGAGAGAGAGAGAGAGAGAGAGAGAGAGACAGAGAGAGAGAGAGAGAGAGAGAGAGAGAGAGAGAGAGAGAGAGAGAGAGAGAGAGAGAGAGAGAGAGAGAGAGAGAGAGAGAGAGAGAGAGAGAGAGAGAGAGAGGCGGGTGCTTGGCTCGCAGTTTGACGTCAGTAGTCCTCACACATGGGCTCGGTGATCAGTGATCAGTGATCAGTAATCAGTAATCGGTGATCGGTGATCGGTCCGTCCTCCTCCAGCTGTCCGGTCATTCAGCTTTTTATTCTGGAGCCCATGTAGGATCCCCCAGAGGACCTCAGCGCATTCTCTCTTTCTCTCAGTATTTTTGCTTTCGTTTGTTTGTTTGTTTGTTTGTTTGTTGTTTTCCTGCTCGGTCGGACCCGCCAATGCAGGGAGGAGTGATGGAGAAAATGTCCCGACATCCCGTCCCGCTCAACCCAAGTTTTCTCCCCCCGGCGACGCACGGAGTCCTGAAGTCTCTGCTGGAGAACCCGATGAAGCTGCCGCTGCATCATGAAGGTGAACTTCCAGTTCTGTGTCCTGATGGAGGCTCGGGACCGGATTCATGAGTCCTGCTGCCTCTGAGCCACTTAATGGAGCCCGCAGCTCACCTGTCCGCTCCTCCGGAGACTGTGTGTTCATTTAATGTGCTGTTAGAGGACCCAAATATCTACATATATCGATATATATCGATATAATATAGACACTTACTGGTTAGTGCCAGCTGGATAAATGAGCAGAAACATTATAATATGAATATGAAATAATTTCCTTGTACACACGGCAGTAAAATGTGTTAAATACAGTAAAACAGTAAATAATCTTTATTTAGCTACAGGTTTCATATGGTAATTTAGTTTTTGTTAGATGTTAAAACTCCAACTTTAACTGTAAAATCTAACAGCAAAGTCCTGCTAAATAAAGCTTTTTGTATCTAGAACAATATTTTATAATATATATAACAGTATTTTACTGTATTTGGTCTATTTTTGCTGTAGGCCTATTTTATTATATTGTACTGTAATATATCAGTTATTTTAATATTGATATATTACTTGTAAATATAAAAATTACTAATAGTTATATTTATTACTGTTATTTCTCATAATATTTATATCATAATTATATATCTATATAATCTTCAGTTACTAATATTGCAATATTACTATACTTCAGAATAACATTATAAATTCAATTTAATTAAATCCAAACAATGTTCTTAAAGTTGATCAGGACAATCAGGACTGCAGGATTTTAGAAATACTGAGGTCAAAAGTGCAAATCCCGTCCCACCTGAGACATTCCTGACTAACCAAACTAATTTAACATTTACTTCGCCTATATTTTTAGTGCGACCTGAATAAGTGAAAACAGTGAAAAGTGTCACCATTTCTCAGAGCTTTCGATATTTAACATGTTATATATAAATATTCAGCTGGCGTCAGAGCTATAAAATTATTTAAATGCTTATAAATTAACTTAATTAATCAGCTTCAGCTCTGAAATGTTGTTGTGTTCACATTTAGATAAAAATACTGGTATCAATCTTTTTTAGTTCAGTCTATAAATCAGTCTATAAATCATTTATCTCAAACGTTGAGAATTATCGTGTTTTGAAATCAGTCCTCTGTGACCCTGTTAAATGAAGGATCGATCACCTCAGTGGGGATCAGTTTCACCAAAACAAAGACTTTAACTTTTCAGGATGTTTCATTCTCTCAATATTTAAAAGTAACCAATATTTCACAAGAAAAACAGCAACAATTATTAATTTGTTTTTATTCTTTTAACATAAACATGCAATATGTATTTCTGCCACTAGGGGGCCGCTCACATCCAAACAATAACAAATTATGAAGTTTGATGAGGTGGTGCAGCAGCGTGGGATCATGGGCGTTGTTGTCTTCACCACCCTTGCCGTCATTGCAGCTTCCCCCGATTAGGATTCCTTCAGTGTTCATAGTTCAGGAGGTTTTCACAAAAAACAGTCAAATAATAACTGATGTGAAACCTATTGATCGCTGTGGGAGAGGATCCATCTGTTCATGGTGCGGTCAGAGGTCAGTGTTTGGAGCTGATAGAGGCCCAGAGTTGTGGTCAGGGACACTTTCCTGGAAACAAGGACCCATGAAGGTTCTGTTGTGATTATAGTCTGACATTGTCTTTGTACACGTAAGGCGGAGGTCACACCTATTAGCATATTCTAGTGTGAATCATTGTTGACACGTTTAAAGTTCTTTGTTTAAGCATCAGGAAAACAAAAGTAAATCAGTCAGTTTTGATGAATTGTCATCCTGTGAGGTAAAAGATATATATTTGTCTCTTTATACCCATAATCTCTCTTGTTTAGAGTTTTCACTGCTAATGTAGAGCACCTCAGTCCTGCTGGAAGACAACACTGTACTTTGGTCGCCATTGAGCTCAAAATTCATTCTTTTCACCTGATATGAAAAGAATCTTATTTAACTTTTGTTATTCAAATTACAAACCCGGCGAAATAATAGTTAAAAAATGATCAACATTTTCAAACCAATCTTTTAACATATTTAATAACTTAGTTATTTCAATGTTTGTTACCTAGCAGTCTTAATCTTTAATGCTAAAGCATTATTATGTTCCTCTAAGTGGAATTTAGATGCAACCAAACAGGGACCTGCTCAAAACTACCATTCTTCAAGCACTGACTTACTAACATTGAACTTGATAATTAAATGTCCAATATCCATACCCAGTATTTAAAAATGTTTTTGGTTGTACTGACAGATTTATTCTCCCTGTCCTCTTCTGCAGCTTTCAACAAGGAGCAGGAGAAGGAGAAGAACCTGGAGGAGGAGCGCAGCGTCCCCCAGTCAGCCTTTCTGGGCCCCACGCTGTGGGACAAGACCCTGCCCTACGATGGCGACACCTTCCAGCTGGAGTACATGGACCTGGAAGAGTTCCTGTCGGAGAACGGCATTCCCTCCAGCCCCTCTCACCACCACCACCAACACCACCAACACCACCACAACCAGCACCATCCACACGCTCCACAACGCCAGCCACCAATCATGCCTCAAGCCCCGCCCACGCCTGCGCCCTCGGTGATGGACCTCAGCAACCACGCCTCAACCTCCGTACACACAAGCGTCGTCTCTCCAGACTGCCTCCACAGCAGCCCAGCAAGAGCAGGTAACACAAAATGATACACAATTCCACACATTACTGATGTTTTCATTTAAGCCTGAAATGAAAACTGCGATATGTTTTACATTTATTTACGTATGTTTTGCTTCGCCGTGGGGGCAAACAATTATTTTACTCTGACTTGGTCTCCTTCAGCTGGAGAAAGTTACCAAACATTCTTAGAAAAGTCCATTAGAGTCTTACAATTAGCCTGGATATTTGGTTTTAAGTGCAGATAAAGCAGAGTGTCATCTGCATGGCAGTAAAAGCAAATTTGTAGGGAGAAAATAACAGGGTCAAGGATGGATCGTTGAGGAACCGCACAAGAAATACTGGGTATGAAGGATGACAATGATTGGATGAATCATCTGTCTATCACTGTCTAACACAAGAAAACTTCAACCATTGAGATCAATGAACCATGTAACACTGTCAAACTCTTACTAAAGTCAGGCAGGAAAAGAAACAAAAGATATTTTCCGTCAAGAAAAACCTTCAGTTCTATGTTCTTCTTGAAGAACCTCTAGCTAACCTTTTTAGCAGCCGTAGCTGTCAGTAGTTCTTCAAAGGATGCTGATTGGTCCGAACCACTTTGGTTGGGCACTAGTGTGTAGACTAAAGCCTGGCAAGGTGGATTCTTGTGTGATCTCAGGATCTTGCGAGTCTAGCTACCTTGCAAGGTTAGTCGAAACCCTGAGATAGTAGTAGTATCACAAGAGTCTTGGAAAACTGCATTTTTCTTGTATTTCAACAAATCAACAAATTGATTAAGTGACTAATCATTTCAGCTCTAGTTCAAGAGACTGGTAATAAACGTTCAGACCACACAAAAAATGAATGGAAATCAATAGATGTCAGGACCTTGAGGAGAAATATCCATGAATCTAAAACTCTACAACATCTTATTAACAATGAAAAGCAAACATGCTTTACCCACGTGTGTTCCTTTCAATGATCACCTGCTCTTTTCTTCACCTGCTGGTTTCTTACTCTTCAGTTAAAGAAGAGCTGCTACAGAGCATTACTTTGAGCAACTAGTTTTCCTCTTTGCTACCACTCGTCTCACTGTGAAAACAAAAGGAAAGTCATTCATCTCTTTCATCGTGAGTTGTAGCTGCTGTGGGAGGACAAGTTTTTCAGTGTTTTGTCTTGTTGAGTGATTAGCAGTGATGGATGAATGATGGATAAACAGGCTTCAGACAGTCAAGCAGGAGATGTTCACGGCTGCAGAGGGGGTTTGGTCTTTGTTTAGAAAAATTCAGTAATGTTGAAAACTCTCACTCGACGACCTGTTTGCAACCGAGGAGGAGGAATCAGTTAAAATTAGTTTGTTGGTTCCCCTGAATGGAAACTGTTAGAAAAGTAACTTTGAGCCATAGCTGAAAATCTGGACTCTCAGCCGCGCTGTAGTTAAATACTACTGAGGTCACGTAGACTGTATTTTTGGGAGGGTTTAGCCAGTGCCTGAAATGGGCTGGAACCATGAGTAGCAGCACTTCTGATTTTTGTCCACATGAGTACCCTTACTACTTATTGAATACTACCACCTCTGGTGAGCATGGCTGTACCCACTACAGGAAAATTCAAAATAGAAACAGAAGTTTGGTCGAAGGGTTAGCACTATTGAATATCAGCTGACACACTCTGGACTGACTAATCACAGTTTAAACCTGTTCAATATAACCACACAGTTGCACCACTGTCAAGTACTGAAAGCTGAAATTGAACGTCTAGTTCGGGTCTTCTTGTCTTCTTGAAATTCACGAGCAATAAAGCACACCAATACACTCAGCCTGGTATGACCAGTAACTTATGGTGGCTAGTTTAGCATAGTTTAGGTATTGCTGTGAAATAAACATTACTGAGTTAGCTATTTCTGACTTTGACTTAAACTCAATTCTGTAAAAAAAAGTTTATACATTTCAAAATAAGATATCAAAAAAGTACAGTTTGGTGGTGGCACTAAAAACTAAAGTATCGTGTTGACAAAAAAGCAAAAGTGAAGTTGGCATTGAATGTCTGGTCGGATTTTTAATCTTTTTTACGTATTGTTAGATCAGATAGTTTCTGATTTAAATCACTTTACAATTTATGCTTGTAAAGTGCTTCGACTTTGGCCAGTTTAGATTGCTTAAGGTTTTTGTATTGGTACTGAAACTTTGGTTCAGAATAATTAAACTGTGTGTAGGGGGACTGATGACCTGGTCCTGGCTCCGGCCCTGGTTGCGAGGAGACTGAATGATCAATAAATCTTTTGATCCCTGGCTGCTGCTGCCAATAACACTAACAGCAGTACAGCTTCTGTGGTCACATCTAACATTTCACCATAGTTTTTAAAGTTGTCTTTGCACTTGATTCTCCATCCTGCCTGCTAATCTTCTGTTTGTGAAGACAACATCAGAGAAAGTTAAAATCTGTAACTGACAACGGTGCAAAGGTGAGATGAGCTCAGGTGCTGTCAGATCCGCTCTCAGAGGGGGGAGGTAGTAACACTCGCTCTGCTCTGCACCGCGAGGAAAACGCGTCCGCCACAGACGCCAAGAGTGAGAGAAGTGTCTCATTCAACACCTCGACAGATGTCCTGGCCTCAGCAAGGGTGTGTGTGAGGGCGAGAACTTCCGCTTTAATTCTTCTACTCGGCCCGTGTTCCTCATGTGTAGAAGAAGAAAACAAGCCGTCCTCTCACAGCGTGTAGAGACAAGTGACTTGCTGCTGTGTGTGTGTGTGTGTGTGTGTGTGTGTGTGTGTGCCTGTGTGAGACTGGTGTTTTAAGAACATAGTGTTCTCTCCAGAAGTAGGCCAGTGGGCGGCAACCCTCACATCAACACACACAAGTTTCCATCTCTGTGTTTACATTCACATCAACTAATAATCCACATGCACACACACACACACACACACACACACACACACACACACAGTATGTGAGTCATGCTGGGATAATCTTCCTGCCTCAGAGTTCACGTATTGAAGACAACAGTCTCTGTATTGGAGATTATTGGAGGAGGTTTGAGACTCATTCTATCCAGATGTTGAAATGACACAAACTCCTCCCAGAGTGCAATGACATCAGTAACTGATCTGTGGAAGTAGCCTCTACAAACTCTGTCAGCCATTTCTGCACATACGATCAATACAAGGAGCCTCAAGCTGCTGTAACTGCTGAGTGTGAACCTATCGTGTTACGTCTCCCATCGGTTTGTGGAGAACGGTTTTGAAGTCTTGAGTTTGCCGTTATGGTCGCTGCCATGACAGTTTGGAGCCAGTGGAGGAGCTGGTACACATTAAAACAAACACACAGCGATGTAAAGCTGGCCCTAAACTGTGATTACAAATTATTTTCCAGGCAAACACAAAATTTACCGCCATTTGGCTCTTGGCAGGTGTTAATTTTGTACCCTGACTGAGTGTAAATGAGTCTTCAATCTCATCTGGATTTCATCCAGTTTTGACACTTGAAAATACAAGTGAAAATGGGCTGTTGATGCATTAACACGTTAACTCTGGATATATTAGCACATTTTACTTAAGTAAAGCTGATATTCTTTCACTGACTCTGACTTCACTAAAATATTTAAACACGTCCTCGGTCGCTGGTGGTGGCTCTCGCCCCGCAGTAATCTGCTGCTCTCATGTCTAAATATAGCAGAGTAATCTGTGGCATAATCTGGCATATTTGTATTCCCACATGGCCCTGTGACAGTCCAGCAGATAAGGAGGCCGGCAGGAACAACAGGGGTTACCCAGCGTTCACCAGATAATGAAAAACAAACAGACAGACAAACAGACGGAGAGACATGGTGGGGCGGCTACAAAAGCACAAACATCCTCATCCTCTCTGAAGAAAATTTCCTCACTTTAATCAGAGTGAAAATCCCTTCTGACCTGCGAGAACTGTATTTCATATTTCGCTGAAAGGTGGAGAGTTGTTTTTTCACTTATCTCCGCTCAGCATGTAGCGGCATCCGCCAGCGCCGAGCTCTTCTGAGGCTGTGAACAGGGTTATAGAGGAAGCAGAAGGAGCTGAAGAGTCTTAGTGTGTTTGTATGAATGCATTTTTTCAAAATAATTTTTAATGTAAAACCATCTCGTTGCATGAACTTGATGTTTTATGTCTCTTCTTTAAGTGTGGAGGCTTTAGTGGGACCTAGCAGTGTAGTTTGTGTAATATTGTTTGATATTAATTGATTTGTAGAAAGTTACACTGGAAGCCCCAAAACATCGGCCGTTGCCCCCAGAGTCTAAATCGTTGTCAGCCGATGGTTCAGAGGTATATAACACAACACAAAGAGTCCGCTGGAACTTTTACAGTCACTAGAAGCACATTCATGTTGTTTGTAATGTTAGCTAAGCTAGCAGCTCAGAGAGGCTAACTCTCTGGTTTCAGTGGGGGAAGCGCCAGGCTACCGCTATGGGCTGTAGGGGGGCGGGAAAGAGGGGGTGTTGGTTGGTGACGGAAGCTACAACCACCTCCATCACCTGCCTCCAGGGTGCAGGTTTCAACCAGCAGAGGGAGGTTAGATATTTATAACACAATATGTAGAACAGCACTATTAAATACCCATTCTTTAGGTTTTTCAGTCTCATCCAGCAAACAGCATGTTGTGATCTCTTACACAGGAAAGATGAGAGACCAGCTGAGCTCTGTGGGAAACATCAGGAACTACGACTGAGCGGCTCACGCTGATGAAATGTGCTTACACACACACACACACACACACACACACACACTCGTGCACGTGTCAGGATGTGTGCTGGTGACACGTGTGAGGCAGTGAGGTACACCGTGTGCTTCTGTTCGGCTGCACCTCCGCAGCAAACACAGACACTGCATTAAAGTCACAAGTCGAAAAATCGAGCGCTGGTCGTTGCGATTACCTGTTACACCTCCTCCATCCAGGTCCGACTGTGCAGGTTCAGCCCAAAATAAACCGAAACTTTAATCCTAAAACCAGGTCTGAACCTTACACACACACCTGCACCCGACCTCTGCAGGACCAGCTGGAGAGGAAAAACAAATAGTCTCTTCCAAGAACTGCTGCTGGGGCTCGTAGAGGGGGGACAGGGGCTGGTCTCAGTCATCTTTACTTGAGATCTCATTGTCAGGTCGTACGATGGTGAGCGTTTGTTTCCTTCAGCAGATCTTCAGATCTTGTGGTTTATTGTGTTTGTTGTAAAAGCAGTTCTGAGGGGAAAGAAGAAATCTTGAGTTCACAGCAGGGCAGTTTCCAGGCCTCTGACTTGTGCAGGGTGGTACGAAGTTTGTGTCTCAGCTTTCCATTCATTCCCACTTTATGCGATTCTAACACTGTCCATGGCCCCCAGTCTGCAGAAATATTCAAATACACTACAATAATACATTTATACCACATGCATTTGGGATCATTGCAGCCCTAAAATACCAGATTTCACAGCAGCTTTTCTAAAGAACTGTGATGCATGTTTCAATGTTTTCAGATTATTGATTGAATCAGCTACATATAGAACATAGCTCTAGAGTTTATACACTGTTTAATGAGGACATATTATATTATATATTAAAATAGAAACCAGTTTGAGGTGCCTTTCTTGTTCTTCTGTGTTAATTAAGACACCCACAGTTAGTGTTACATAACGCTCTGTCTTGACAGATGAAGGAAAAAACTGAATCGCAGTCGAGATTTTCTGGGAATTATGACTTCATTTCAGGTTATTGATTGTTATAAATGTTAATATAGCTCAGTTTCCTGCAGAAAGAGAGAAACGCCCTAAACGACTGCTTTTCATCCTCGACGTATCTGCAGCTCCTCATCACAGAGACATGAATGGAAATATAGTCACAGTTTTTATGTTTTCACAAGGTTAATCTGCCCACGTTTTCCATCTCCTCTGATCACCTCATCACAGCCCACTCACAGCACACAGCCGAGAGGAGACAGAGTCCATTAGCGGGTCAGGGCTGAACTCTCAATGAGGGAATTAAAGCCTGCGAGCGGCCTGTGTCCAACAGGAAATGGGTTTTATTTCCATGCTTTAATAGTTGCTGTTTATCACCTGAACCTACTCATAGTCTCCTTGTTGTCACAAACACAAAAATATATACACACTTATTAATGGTTTAACTTCAAATATGTCGCCCTCTGCTGGCTGCAGCTCGTCACTGCAGCATCTGAGGGACATTTAAATAAAATATGAACAAATTATTGATAGTTTAAAAATCCATATAAGTAGTAAAATGTATTATTTAATACTAATACTGAATAACAGTTCATACTTAAAATTATGAAGGTACTGTGTCTCTATTTGTTTACAACAAATAATTCATTCATTAATATTTTTATTTAATTTCTTTGTATTTACTCTTCTATTTTCTTGTGTTGCTGATTATTTATTGACTTCCTTTTCTTTGCCAAACTGCTTCTCCTAATTTTCCTCTTACTGTGATAACATCATAACTATTATTATTTAATTTAGATGTGAGTATTTGGTTGAATCTGTTAAAAGAAATAAATTAATAAAGAGAGAAACAAAATGAGAACAGAATGAAAAGACTTGGATATCAGCGGGTTTTGGATATGAACAAACAGTCTAAAGCCAACCGTTTGAAGAAAGATGGAGGATTGAACAAGTCCGCTGCCAGTGGTTGAAATAACTAAAAAAGTAACTAACTGTTACTGTTGTATTCCTCCAGGCCTCCCAAACTCCAGAAACACTCCCAGCCCCATCGACCCAGACTCCATCCAGGTTCCTGTCGGATACGAGCCCGACCCAGCCGACCTGGCTCTGTCCAGCGTTCCAGGTCAGGAGATGTTCGACCCGCGCAAACGCAAGTTCTCGGCCGAGGAGCTGAAACCACAGCCCATGATCAAGAAAGCTCGCAAGGTCTTCATCCCGGAAGACCTGAAGGTAATTTGGAGTTGGTTCTGACAAGATGAAAGTGGTTAATGAGGCTGGATGTCTTTTTTATTCTCTTCTAAACGATGACAGTAAGACTGTAAACTATAAATAGGTTAAATACAGTTTCCGTAACTGTAAAACGCTGTCATATTTTATGGCAAAACACTTTGTTTTTTATATGACAGACTGTAAAACATATTGAGAGGGAATATCTGGATGTAAGAACTCTTAAAACTTTAGATAAACTCTCAGAAACAGACAGGCAGGTTGAACCATTAGCGCTGATTATAATCGACTTAAACCTGCACGCCATGCTGGGATAGAACGACCCAGTGGAGAGGTGCCTGTCCTTCTGCTCTCCTATTGGTCAGGTCTCAGTTTGGGGAGGTTGGATGGGGGGGGGGGGGGGTGTCCTTCTGGTTAAGAGGCTTATATGAGGCCGAATGTTCGTGATCCTCTGTCTCCTCAGCTGGGAGGTCAGGCTGAGAGGATTTGGCTTTTAATTTGTTCAAATAAAAAGTGGATCTGTGTGTGGCTGTGGTCCAGTGACGGACGGCTGAAGCTGATTGTGAAAGCGGCTCTGTGGAGACTTCAGGGCGGCTGTCATCGTTCGCTAATGGCTGCAGGCAGAGGTGTGGAAATTTGATGACTTCAGAGCTGACTCGACAAAATCGAGCCCAAAGATTAAATAGTCATTTAAAAGTTTGCAACTAATAATTTTATATTTATAAGTAGGCGAGTAAAGAGCCGTTTAAAACCAAAACTATAACAACAACGACAATATGTTTGTGATCACTTTCAGTGTATAAGTCTTTTGAAGTTTACTTTGTTGGCGCAGGATAACGTTTAGTCAACAATAAATGATGTTGCGGTACAGTTAATGATTGCTAGCTAATGCGAGGCAGCGGCGTCCTTCGCGGCATTCAGCGTTCATTTCAGCGTGTCCGTTCCTGCCACCAGTTAGGCTCCGCCCACATAAAGGTCAATAATAAAGTCATAATAAAAGTCTCCATCTTCTGTCCTGTTTTTATGTTTGACTTTCTTTGAAGAATTCCCCTTTTTTTTCACGTCTCCTCTCTCTTCCCTTGTGTCCTTCGAGCAGGATGACAAATACTGGGCCAGGCGCAGGAAGAACAACTTGGCGGCCAAGCGGTCCCGGGATGCAAGGCGGCTCAAAGAGAACCAGATCGCCATCCGAGCCGGCTTCCTGGAGAAGGAGAACTCAGCTCTGCGGCAGGAGGTGGGCGAACTAAGGAAAGAGCTGGGACGCACCAAGAACGTCCTGGCCAAGTACGAAGCACAGCACGGACCGCTGTGAGGAACCACACACTCTCTGAGAAGGATGACCCCGCCTCCTCCTGATCCAGCAGCGACCCTCCTTTCACTTCTCCGCCACTCGCAGTACTGATGGCTCGATTTGCGGCAGGTGAACATATACTTTCAAACACGGAAAAAAACTTAAAGGACCAGTCTGCTGTTATTCTCTATTTTTCTTATTGTCAACAAATCTCACGTTCAGACTGAAACCAACAGCAGTCCGTCTCTCAATACTGTCTGACTTCCTGCCTGCTCATTGGTTCCTACTCACAAATATAAAGTTTAATGTTTAAAAATGTCCTATTTTTATCAAACAAACAGGAGGGAACAGGGCATTTGTTGGGAACTATTTTCAGCGGCGGATGAATCCACATTTGGTGCAGCAGGACGGTGTATAGATAAACAAGAAGGAAGATGTCACCTGGTGCAACTTTAGACGTGTTTCCATCAAAATGTGTCGCAAATTTGAACCCAGTTTCGAGTAAATCAGCAAAAGAAAATATGAATGCTCGTCTCCATCCACCGTTATTATTAGGAGATGGTTCATCGAGATGAGCAGTAGGTGGCGAGAGGAGGAAGAGGCATTGAATTTTGTTGTTTCCAATCAACCTTTTTTAATGCGATGCACATAAACATTTGCTGATAGAAGCGCCAGCGTGGCTCACTGGTGTGTTTCTCTGTGGCAGAGGAAGAGGAAGAGGAAGAGGAAGGCTGTGATACACACTCACTACCTGCTGGTTTGGGATTTGTTGGCAATAACAGAAATCTTGAATATTAACGCACGTTTTATTAGCTTTTATTTTTGGCCCTTCTTTCCGAGCCAGGAGTATTATCAACACGTCTGTGCAGTATTCCTCCCAGCTAACGTTTCCGTGGCAACCAGCAGCCGTGTAAAGACGGGCAGTTTGCTCCTGCCATCAGTCGAGCTCATTATTCAGGATCATTCGATACACACACACACACACACCTGTGATCCCCCCTCACGGACTCCTCTTTGACTCAAACTGCCGCCCTCATTGACCCACCTGACGTCTGACCTCCGACCCCTCCTCTCCCAGTGGCATGGTACCAGCACTTTAGAACTACCGACGCCTCGCTCTCTATAAGTTGTTTTTTTTATACGCGCAAAATTTGTTAGCACCCAAATTTGTTAACAGTCCCTAAAATGTGTTAAAATCTTCAAGTCTGCTGTAACAACATCAGAGAGTGTATCTTTAAATACTTCAGTTATGACAAAGACAGTTAAGAGAGGAACCCAAAGAGAGTCTGTTTGTTTATGGGGCCACAACCGACCAGCAACACATTTTACTGTCAGTGTCTGAATTGAGACTGCAGCTCATGTGATTGTTAATGTGATATTTCCCCTTTAGTTCGGTGTCTTCAGTGTCTGTATAATGATTGTGTATCCTCCTCTTCTGCTGTATCTACTTGTAAATTTGTCTGATGATCGTCTCTGTGTGTTTGAGATAATCTTTTTGAATCTTGCCATCGGACACACGCTAACTTGCGGTGATGTTCAGTCTGAAAAGCTGCTGCCTGCTGGGACATAAAAACAGAGACAAACTGTAGAAATCTCAGCACTGCTGGAAGTTACAATAATGTAGAGCTTTGCTTTTTACACACTGATTTGTTTTTAGTTTACAGCGGTTAATTGTAAGTTAGTATGAAACCAGTTGCATTATAGAGCCTCCAAACCATCATCCATTCTTAGTTTGCTCAATCTCACATAACTTTTTAGAAAACACAAAGAACAGTTGATACTCCAAACTAAATAATATTTGGAATCTTTTCGATGCTATCTTGTGCAAACAGGATACAAAAGTGTTTGCCTTGTAAGATCTTCACAGGCTTCCTTCCTGCTGACTGCAGTATATCATAAAGCAGTGGTTCCCAACCTGGGGATCACGTGGCCTTCTTGATTTTAAGGTGTGCTAGAAATCAGTTTGAGACCCCTGCTTTAATGGATGGTGGCTGTCGCTTCCTCTGAGTATGAATACAGGTTGAGGAAGGCATTTGCAGGGATTTCTACAGTTATGAACCAGTTGGCACAAACTGAACTGTGACCTGACATGTCGGGTGGCATCACAGCTCGCGTTATACAACCTTATGCTGCCCATATGTCAGCGTTACAACAGCGGCGTGTTTGAACTGTCACTGCCTCGTTCTCTCTGAACTGTTTTTGTGGATTTTCCTTCTTTACACACTTTAATCTACTTTGTGTGTTGTGTTGAGGACAAAATGTCAGAAATGTGCTGCTGTTTTTTTTTTTGTCCCTGCAGGCTCATTAAACAGTCAGTACTGCAGTCCGCCATTACACAGGAAAGAAACAAATACTTTTTAACAACCTGGTTCTTGTTTCATACGTGGGCTTTTATTTAAAAAAGAACAAACTTAAGACCCAGATTGTCAAAAAAACTTAGTTAAAGAGTAACTAAACCCCCAAAACTTTCTGCGGAAAACCTCTAAATGGATATTTACTTGGACATATTAGTGCAAAGTATTTGAATTCTACATATTGTGCTATAAATATTCATATTAGCTTGGATAGTGTTACAACACAGGCAGCACACAGAAACTTGAATGTGCTTCTAGTGACTGTAAAAGCCGCGACCAGAAGGGGAGTGAGCGGATTTGAGGGGTTTAGTTACATTTTAACAAGCTAATACGTGCTGTTGCTGTTTGTTGATCACTCTCTTCAAACTGGCCAAGAGAAGGTGTTTAAAGATTGAACAGGGTTTTCCTTTTAATTCACTATAGAAACCAAACTGTTTCCCTTCAGTGCAATAGATGGTTCTTTATGGCTTTGGCATGAACTTTTATTTTTATTTGAACTCTGTCGTATTTTCCGAGGTGCGCCCCCCGGTGGCCGAGTGAGACATGAATGTATATTTGAAACAGTGCGTTGGGTGAGTGGTGTTGTCTTATACTGTGGAATCACTTTAATACTCTTTACTACAGACCAAAAGAATACAGTATATAAAGGATATATTGATATATTAAAGGTTTTAATGTTTATACAGAGATATTCTTCTTGTTTTTTGTACAGTCTGTTTTCCTACATAGATATTTCCTGTGTATTTTGGAAAGGTTACATGAATATAAGCAGTATATAACACATATATTCAGAAATATTAACAAAACTGCGTGCCCGACCAGTGTGGGCGATGCATGGGCATTACAGAAATCCTCCACGGTTTGTCTGATCCTTTCCTCCCTGCGTAGTTGAAATACCTCAAACCCCCCTGACTTTCTTACCCTCCGTCACAGCTGTGCACAGGTGCAGCTGATTCAACTCTTGGGTAGTTTTTTGCACCAGGTGATCTGCTCCTCGCCTTTCATTTGTCAGCGAGGACACAGTCGCCTCCACACAGATGCTAACGTACGTATAGTTTCATGGCTATATTGGGCCTAGAGGAATGTATCTACCCGACCCGAAGCACTTATTTTTAATTTTATTCCTTTTGTCCGCTGTGATTAATCTCTCTCCTGCATCCTGCTGTTCACTTCTCTCTGCTTCTTCAGAGCCTCTGCAGCTCTGTTTGAATCTGTGTTCAAAGATATTTTTCCTATATTTGTCCTTGATTATGTTTCTCATGATCAAAATAAGAATAAATAAATAAAAGTTAAAACCTGTGTCTGTTATTCATTCGTGGATCACTGAGTTGTCCAGATCATATTCATGTATCATGTTTTAGTTTCAATCAATACTTTTCCAATCTGAGGTACATCTTCTGCCCTCTGGTGGATTATCTGTGCACTGCAGGCAGTAACAGCCAAATCCAAAAGGGCTGCTGTGAAATGATTTGCAAGAGAAACTTTAGCTAATTTTTAAAAGTTAAAGTGAGAATAACATTTATATTGTTACTAATAATTACTGTAATCAACTTGTAGTCAGTTAATATTTCCTCCATTATTTTAATAAATGATAGATATATATAGATAGATATGCCTACCATAATGCAATTTACACAGTTTGATTATTCAGTTTAATTATTTGAAGATTTAAACATCATCTCAAAGTGTAAATTGAGATATTTAAGTTCTCTATGAATGCAACCTGCTTTCATGATAATCACATGTTGCGATGGCTCGCTTGCTAATAATTGTCTTTTTATCATCGATTTTCACTAAAACAGGTCTTTGGTTATCGTTATCTTTATGTTATATTGATCAAACTGTTTCTTTGCCACAAAAAGTTTCCTGTTTGGAAAAACAATTAACCAAACCAATTAAAAAAAACTTGTTGTTGTTTCTAAAATAAACATCACTGATCAATAAAATGCCATAAATGTCTGATGTATTAAATATTGTACAGAAAAATATCATGAATATGAATATGATATATAATCAGTAGAAGCTCATCGCCGATAGGCTTTTGCGACAACACGTCACATGAATTTAATTAATTTAAAACAGCTCGCTAGTTGACAGAGACCACAACAGCTTAGAGTCAGAACACATCAGCAGATCAGATATGCAACGTGAAACCGCAGAGGACACACAAAACGTGACAAAGTCAGCACAGATGACAGGATTAAAATACAATATATATATATTATAATACAATTTAAACTCACCACTGACGTTTTTAAGCAGCACAATCTGCTGTTTTAAAAAGTTATCCAACACCTGACGTCTAAAAACAAATAATTTACTCATTTTAAACTGCAAAGAATAATGGGAACGGTGAGCTCAGCAGTGACCTGTGACAGAGAAGCTTCCCCACTGATCTCAGGACAGTTTCAGTCTAATTAGCCTACGTTGAATATCAATGTGAAGGTACTGAATGGCAGATCTGCTGCTGAACTCAGGTCAGTGTGATACTGACAGCATTATAACTGAGGTAGCTGGTGAAGTGACTTCTTTCTTTCAGTGAGCCTCTTAATATGAACGCAGCATTAGATTTATGTTGATATAATTATGGTTTTAGATGAGAACATGCAGGTTGTCGAGAATTCACAATGATCTCTTTTATTACAATTAATTATTTACAGTACTACACAATGGGTACATTTAACCATCAGTTACTCATAGGAAGTAACAAGAGCTGTTGCTGACAGTAAAAACAAAAGTGGAGCCATTAAAATAATCTTTAAATAAAAATAAGGGGCCAGTTACAAGTTTATAGTTTATGTCTCCGGTTTATTATTTGAAGGATGCTGGAAATTGTCCAACTGACTTGTGTCTCCTCCTCCTCCTTCTCCTCCTCCTCCTCTTCCTCATCCTCCTGCTGCAGCCGTCTGATCTGATCCACAATCAGCACTCAGTCTGGTGTTGCTCAAAAGCTGACCACCAGGGGGCATCAACCCCCCTCCTACTGTGAATCACAGGACCACCATGAACATAGAGAGAAAAACTGTTTGAAGTCATTTATTTAAAGTAGAGCTCACTGGAAGAAAAAGATCCTCCGCTGACCAAAAATGACACATTTGAGTAAAGTTAGAAATATCATCCTCTCCGTGTCCTGCTGTCAGTCCTCGTCTGTCCATCAGATGTCCTCAGAGTTTCTTTGTCAGTGTTTCTCTCTGCACACCTGAACCTTCAGTCTTCTCCTCTCTGCAACGTTAGACTGCACTGACGTTTCTACCTTGTGCTTGTTCACTCCATTCAAAAGTTTAAAGCATTTAAAGATGACAACCACACAACTTAATTTACAGTGATGGAAAGTACATTTTACTTCCATTTTATGCTGTTACTCTACTTCTACTTCTCAGAGGGAAATATTCTACTTTTTACTTTTTACTTTATTGTTTATTTAATAACTTTAGTTACTTTCAGATTCAGATGATGCAAACTATAAAAAGCCTAATAATGATGATACATTATTACAGATTAAGCTACCCAGCCATATATACATTGATTAAAATAAGATCTAGCTTTATCAACAGCAACATTGAAGTTAGAAACTACTTTTCCTGTCGTGGAAACACCTGGAAGTTGATCTGTGTTGTCCTGGAAAACCTGAATTATATTTGAACCAGTGGTGTGAATTAATTAATGTTACAGTTAGAGGAAAACTGCTGTCGGTTTATTAAGTCGAAGGAATGTCCTGTAAACGATGTCCAACGTTTGTGAGTGCAGCCCTTTAATGTTAAGAAAAACTCCTGGAAAAAGATTTCTTAAAAAAGTGGGAAGTTCTCAAACTTACTCCTCTGATTTTTATTCAAGGTCAGAGTCCAGAACGATTGGTGATAAGAAAATAACATTTAAAGGTTCAGTGTGTAACATTGAGGAGGATCAGAAATGTAATATAATATCCATAGGTATGTTTTAATTAGTGTTTAATCAGCAGATAATAAGAATCATTGTGTTTTCATTACCTTAGAATGAGACATTTTTTACCTACAGAGGGAGCGGGTCCTCTTCTGGCCGCCATGTTTAACTGCCATCTTTTATTGTGAAATTATCATTTTGTGTGTGTTTCCTGTTTTATTTGTTACTTGTACTTTGTATTTGGCCTTGTGTGTTTTCTGCTGTTAGTTATTGTTTGCCCCGCCCTAATCACCTGCACCTGTGTCTGATTACGCACACACCTGTAGAGAATATAGTCACTGTGGTTTCTCCCTTCAGTTCCAGTTCATCTTCGTATTTCTAGTCTTCCAGGATTCCCTTGTGATTTTATGTGTCTTGGTTATTTGATTTCCGCCTTTTGCCTTTTGTTGATTCGGATGTTTGCTTGATCGTTGGGTTTTCTGTGTGCTGCACTTTTGAAAGTAAAAGGGAACTGTTTATTTAGCTCAATCCTGGTGTCTTCAGTTGTGCGTTTGAGTTTCTGGCCTGTAGAAACATGGCGGACTCAGTAAAACAAGGAACCACTTTCTCTGTATATAAAACCATCTATTTCTAAGGTAACAAAAACTACAGTTATATTCAGGTACTTATACACTAATGAAAACATACGTATGAATATCCTATTCCGTTTATGACAATGGATCCTCCTTAATGTGACACACTGGACCTTTTATATAAAATATCTGAATCCTGTTTCCACCACTGAGAACTGTGTATCCATCTCATCCAGTATATTAAAAAATATCCTGTAAAAATAAAACAGATCCTTTGCACTTCCACCTCTTTTTGAGCATGTGATATGAATTAATAAGCAAATGAGGTAAAAAGAACATGTCCCTGTCCAGATATCTGACCGTCCTGCCAGTTTAACCAGATTAAATCCCAATGAGTACATGTAGGCAACAACATGTACAGCTCTTTTGATTCATTTGGTCTCATATTTTAGCCTCTTTAGCACCCCACTAAGTTGGAATTGTTTTTATGTAATACCATTTTCTCAAAGTGAAAGGGAGCAGATCAGGATATTCTGCTAATCCCACGAGTTCAGACCATCACACGGTGACAGCAGAGGAGTTTTTAGTGCTGGTTTAAAATCTGGAGAAGTCCATGAAATGCTCTGTGTTGTATGAAAATACAGTATGACTGCATTTGGGCAGTCTTAAAGCACCACCCCACCCTACAGGCTGTCAGTTTGTGCAGAAAATAACATCTGTTGGTCACATAAGCCTAAAAAGGTTGCACTTTTTGTTTTTAGGACAGCTCACATCTGTTTAAACCTTTGAGTGTTGAAGCTGTTAGAAGAATCTGTCCTTGTATTTACGTCCAAACATCTAATAAGCACTAAATCATTCCAGCTCTGTGTTTGTGGAGTTACTGGATGAGAGTAGCCCTCTGATTTTATTTCTTCTATTCTTCTATTGCAATTAGAAAAATGATTTCATGTATCATAGCAGTGTTATGTACCTTACTCCCCTATAAAACGGATCTGAGATCCATTTTGGGTTGCGACCATACGTTTGGGAAACCCTGGGCTACAGTATAGCAGCAGCAATAAACTGTAGTCTCAAACTACACCAGCACTAACATTATGAGCACTGGACTCCCTGACTGGTCCCAGACCAACAGATTGTTCTGCACTGTGTGTTCTGACCCCTTTCTATCAGAACCAGCATTAACTGTTTCAGTAGTTTGAGCTACAGTAGCTCGTCTGTTGGATCGGACCACACGGGGCAGCCTTCACTCCCCACCCACTGACAGGAGCCCTGATAAACCAGATAATCAGTGTTATTCGGTGTCAGTGCTCACAGTGTTAGGGCTGATCGGTGTTTATCTCAGCCCAGATCATACAGTTGGTTATTAACAGGTGCATTATTTACAGACTAGAGGATGTAGGTGTTCCCGTGAAATTGTTGAATGGTTAGGTTTAAGATAACCCATTGGTCAGGAGATAGGACCTAGACGTGTCTCCAAGGAGAACATGTTTGAAGCCCTGCTTTTGACCCAAACACAATAGGGAGGTTTATGTTTGATAACAGAATAATAAACTGAGGGACATAGAGTCCTGGGAACATAGGACTGGGAATTTAGGATCCCAGGAGCTTTGGACCCTGGGAACATGATACCCTGGGAACATAGGACCCAAACTCTGGTCCCGCCACGTTTTGATGGCTGCCATTATCAGCTTCAAAATGTAGAGTTAAATCTCCTTTTCAAGGAAGCTAAAATAACAAGACACAAGTCTGTATTTGACTTATGTAGTATATAGACATATACAGTGTATCACCACAACAATACATTCAAATTTTACAGCTTTTATGCAGTTTGTGTTCGGTGTTGAAGAGGACATTAGGTCTCAGATGTTCTTCAAATTTCAAATGTTGCTCTGTTTGCTGCACTTTCACAGGAAAACTGAAAGGTTAGAACCTTTATAGAAAGACTACTATCAGAAGCCATTGGTAGATTGATTGCATGGGTTTCTTCTTAGGTTCCTATTCAAGCTCGTCATTTCTTTCACACTGGTTTAATTGTCTGAATACACTAAGTCGTAATGGAAGACTTGACGGATGCTTCTATCAAAAGCACCATACAGCACCATCATGGAGTCCCTGATGGTACCACTCTTCCCCCAGGAGTCTGGATTACATCTGATGTCACAGACAGACAAACAGATGGGTTTGTTTGTCCAGTTTTTTGTCAGATCTTTTCAGCGTTGCGTGCTGCGATCTCTGAGCCCCATGTAGGCATCAGATGAGCCGTCAGGTCAGGCCTGAACACGCCGAAATCTCAGCCTGTTGACAACCTGAAGCTTACATAACCCTCCCTACGGACAAAAAACTGCACAGGGGAAAAACAAATACATAATACATGCTCCTAATACTCTGCGGCGGTCACCATATAATCCACAAACATGGAATATGGAGGGGAGTGGATAATTGTGCAATTCATATCATGGATGGGATGCAGCCATTGGTGGGTTGCTCAACTGGCTGTGTGCTGTTTTTTCATGTAAGAGGATTTGTGAGGGCCTCTGTGGCACGAGTCCTCTAAAGACTCTGGGTTGGATCATCTGTCTGATGGTGCCAGAGCCAATGAGCAGAGGGGATGGCCTGACGTGGGAGGCGAGAGGCTTTTTGGTCATGGAGGATTTTGTCATTTCAGGAAGGAAGAGAGATTAAGCCAGTTTGCCACAGTGCAAATGTGCACAATAACAATTACTTACAATTACTGACATTTAGAAACATAGAATATTCATCTGCCCTGTGCAGCGCCATTCTGACATCAAAAATATACATAAAACAACGTACTATTGCTTGAAGAGATGCTCACTGATTTTGCAATGGTGTTCCCAAATCCCTATTTCGGGACTGTTGTGGTAAAGAGGGAGCAGAAGGCAAAGCTTTCGATTTACCAGTCAATCTATGTTCCAGCTCATTGGAACTGAGCTTTGGGTAGTGACTGAGGGGGGACAAGCCTCAGAGATAGGCTGAGGAGCTTGGATATCCAAAGGGACCTCGGAGTAGAGCTACTGTGTCAAAAGTGGCTAACTGAAGTGGTTCAGATCTGATCAGACCTGGGCACCTTTCTTTTTTTTCTGGGCATAACCAACTGGGAGGAGACCCCGGGGAACTTGCTGGAGGGACATATCTCACATTAGGCTTGGGAACTCCTCGGGATCACCCAGGAGTAGCTGGAAGGCGAGAGGGATTTTCTGGAGTGCCCTGTTCGAACTTTTGCCACCATAACCGGACCCCAGATAAGTGGATGATAATGGATAGATTGATGGAATATAGCATCCACAAATCTATTAATTTTCCCTTGACTGTAGACGAATGAACCTGTTACAGTATCTGCTCCCAGACATGCATTTATTCAGGAATGAAAACTAAATTTATACAGGTGAAAAAAAAGTTTTGATGGGCCAATTTATGAGAAAATGAAAAAGTCCCTGACAAATTCCTAAAAACCAAACAACACAAGTTGAACATTGGGGCTTTTGGGGCCCCTGGGGGTCTGCTGCCCTCTCGCAGTTGCCAACTCTTTAATAATTCAAATTATGACACAAATGAATAGACATTTTAATCTTGTTAAATAGTTGCTGAGGGCCCTGATCAGCTTTTTAGTTCCCTTCCCGCTCCAGCTGTCAAGGAGTAAAACTGCTACAGACAATAATAAACTGCTCATTTTACTGGAGGATTTATGTACATATATGTAAAAAGGTCATGTTTTTTTTAAACTGAACTGAGAGGTTCTGATGTCGTCCTTTTTCCCAAAAAAACAATTATATTACATCATTAAAAAGATTACCCGATTAATTAGAGATTATACATATACATCACTTGATACATTTGGGAATTATTTAAATTTAATTAAATTTTTCATGAATAGTTTTTTTACATCCTATAGAAAAGCAACATTGCGTCAATTTTACAACTGAGGTGAAACCTTAGAAATCACTATAGATTGGATGAAAAGTGTTTTTTCACAGTGATAAGCTGTTAGCCTGTAAAAAGTGATGTGAACAGCAGCATTATGGTGTTTTTACAAAGAAACATTTTTAAAAAAACAGCCACAACGAGGAAAACTGGGGACAGAACAGCCACAGGGGTCGAGGAAAATCTCTTTACACTGAATGATAATCATACTTGGCTATTTTAACTGTTTTTACCTTTACAAAGGCTGACTGTTGTCTCCACTCAGGTCTTAATGTTAAACAGTCCCTCCAGGAAATCACGATGTTGTGATAGCGATTCTCAATCAATCGTTGAGAATGACCAACCATTGTAGTTTTCTGCGAGTTTCACAAATCATAGCAGTCCTCACCACTGATTTTTTTAAGAAAAGCTGCTGTAAAATCAGGCATTTTAGGCCGCAATAATCCCCCCTAAAAAGCCCACAAAATCCTGAAGAGACTGGTTATTAGTTACACCTGTTTCTAACAAGCCAAAATGAGAAAAGCTTATTTGAGTTTTTGTCCTGAAAAGAACAGAAAGATCTGTTGTAATGTATCATCTATTCCACATTGTAGCAGAGCGGCAGTTGGTTATTGGTTCACTGCAGAGTAATATACTGGATACTGAGGTCAAATGGAGCTACCTTTATGATGGTGCCAGCTGTGGTTACTGACCATAACGTCCTTCTTTCTGTAATCAAGCTACGTAACTGTTCCATGACTGTCCAGCAGAATGGACACCAACTGGCAGTGCCTCAGTTAGAGTTCGCCTTCAGCTCAAGTCTCAGAGCTCGATGTAGTGACGGATCACAGCTCCTGCACTGTAACTCTGTGTGTCACTGAAGAAGCAGGTCCTGATGAGGCAAAGTAAACATTTCTCCAATGTCCCAGAAGATAGTTACACCTCGACATCAGATCTTCACCAACCTCTGGTGAGTTCAAGTCCTTCCAAGAGTTCAGGCTGGCAGGCAGGATGGAGGCCGATGGCGGGAATTTAAGGGTTTTCTGGAATATTTTTCAGCAGGTGTGGCCAAGACCCTGGAAAAAACATGGAAAAACAACTTCAAGGACAATGTAAGTGTGGCCAACTCCTGTAAAATGTGAGGCAAAGACGATCTATCAGTATACGTTAAAACCTTAATTAGTATTATTGGCAACACCTGTGTTTAACCTACTGTACAAAAATGTCAAAATGGTTGCTGTGAAAAAGGTCTATACCAAATGTGAACCTACCCATTGGTTTGTGGGTACAGGTTTTGAAGCTGCGAGTTTGGTGTTACGGTTGTAACCATGACATTTTTTCATGTTGGCTTCACGTCACAGACCCGGAAGCTCTGTCCATTATTTATACTGTCAATGAGCTACACTTTGTTTTATAACCAAATACCTGTTAACTAATACTAATTCCTACATTCCCATCAACCTCAGCTGTACTTTGTGGTCACGACTTATTTACAAATGTTAGCATGCAAGATGGTAAACATTATACCTGCTAATCATCAGCATGTTAGAATTGTCATTATGAGCATGTTAGCAGGATGTTGTTAGCATGGCTGTAGACTCTTTACTGTAAATGGGAAACACTAAAATAAGCCTTTGAATCAAATCAATAGCCTATTTGGAAAATAGTATGCCTGTTTGTTGTAATATGTACTACATTACCTATACAGACATCTGAAACAAACCTCAGTGTGACATCATTCGCCCATTAATAAAATATCTATCTGTATGAGGTAAAAAGATGTTGTTTCCTCAGTGCTGTGGTTTCTCAGTCAGAGGATTTCCCTCCAAACAAACATCAGCTGAGGTTCTCAATCTGCCTCTTTTATCACCATCCAACAAATCTGCTGCATGCCACATGTGTAAACCCTTTCTCAGAGGCCACCAAAGGGTTAGTCCTACTGTCCAGCAGCATACGTCAAAGGGATGAGTGACGCACACACATCCGTCCATCCATTCATTATTTCCCTGTCCAGTGGGGGTTTATGTTGTCAGCTAAATTCATTTCAGTGATGCTTGGAGGAGGGTAGGGGTCAGGCAGGGGATTTGCAGACTGGTTCAGAGCTTCAGCAGGACGAAGAGCTTAGAGTCTGGGACCTCAGGGTCCAGAGTTTGGGGGGAAGGGAGCCAACAGACTCACAGTCTGTTCTGCTGATGTTCTCCATCCAACAGCTAGTGGAAGTTCCGACTAGAGACCAATCAATAAAGTGTTTTCTTTTACCCACAGCTGACAGCATTTCTCTAGGGATGTTGGGCGGTCCATCACTTTGGTTCAGGATATAATTATTGGATGGAGTAAGAAATAATTTGGTTCACCTCAGAATTAATTGTAATTAAAACAACATTGCTGCACACAGTTCAGGACTTACCACCGGTGACGTGGAGTTCACATCTGTCTTGTGTGATATCAACAAAAGCACATGTTTTATGAACTTCCCAAAGACATTCCCATCAGCCTCAGCTACACTTTGTGTTAACTCCTAATTAGGAAATCTCTCTTAGACTTCTGTGTCTCATAATTATGAATTAGCATTTCATGATTATGAGAAAACAATGTAATATTAAAACGTTTTTTCCGTTCAAAAGGCTCTGAATGCTTCAAAACTAGTTGCCAGAACCAGAATGAAACCGGTTCCCTGTTTGTGGAAAAGGCCTCTATGAGGTCTTCTAGTCACCAGTACTGGCTTGACATATCACAGTGACAAATGACAAATGATAGTCGTTCTCATGAGAAAATCCCCTCAGAATAACTAGATCTGGAAGACATGATCATCAGGACATTTTCAGTGCTTCAGTTTTTCATTTGTTTCCATGGCTTCTTCAGTAAACAGCACAAAGCTAAACTTCATAATTACCTCCTGTGTTTTGTTTTACTGGGCTTAAAACTGATATTACAAAACCTGAAAGGTTTTCCTGGGTTGTAGTCTAATTAACTGAGAGGATTTCTTCCACCCTTTTGTAAGAGTGAGAGTTTCTCATCTATACCATCAGATTAAAGCATCCACTGTGTGCTAGCGGGCGGGGCATCGACCTAAAGCTGCGTGTAGACAGCTTTACATAAATGTTCTGCAGAGGTTTAAAATGATTGACAGTAGAAACATCATGAATAAAATATGAATGTTTCTTGTAAAAGTAATTATCCTCTTGCCAACTCAGTATGGACAGAACAGAAGCAGATGTGTTTAGGGCAATGAAAGCATACTTTGAAAATGTTGGAAATTAAATAATTATATCAGCCAACTCTGAACAGAAGTTGTACCAATTAAAAAAATTAAAAAAAAGCCTTGTGCCTGAACTGATACTTAAAAAACAAAAAAAGCATAAAATGTTGGTTAAAGACATTAAAGAACTGTATTTTTATTGCTAAGGTAGGGTTGCCATTTAAAGTTAACAGTGCTACAAATTCCTCCTTCAGACCTCTGCGATTCTTTTGCAGAAGTATTATCATTAAATACAGATTTTTTGGGGGCCAAATAAAGCTCTAAGCCAGAACCATGTAGAAGAGAGTTGCCGTAATGTTAACTAGCGATGCCTCTGTTTCCTTTAATGTCTGCAACAGAGGGAAGCTATTTCGGCTCTGGTACTGAAAGGAGGCACCGACATCTGCTTTCTGTTTCGGTACCTAAACCCTAATTATCAGAACAAAAAGCAAGGAAATCCCTACATTCAAACATTTCACTGCTGTTGACAGAACGAAAAAGCGACTGCAGCCTGAAACTAATTAATCAGATTGTGATTTGCTGTTAATGTGATTGTAACCAATCGGCTGCGTGTGATGACGGCCTCGATCCGTGCCACAGACACATATCAGTAATAATTAATTTCCATGCATTCGCTAATGCATCATGGATTACGGTTGGAACATACAGAGCACTGGCACGACACAGTCTGTGAGCAAATGCCCTCGACACATAACAAAATATCTGAACACACACAGATGTTCAGATGCAGGATGATTTAACAGATGTGGTTTATTTTAGAGAAATAAAAATGTTTGTGGTGTTAAGTTCTCATATACTTTGACTTTGAGCAACCTTTACGCTCTCAGGAGATGCTGAAACCAGACTGATACACACAAGTGTTTTGTTGTTGAAACAATATTCTGGCAAACAGCTGCGTCAGTTGAACCCAAAGCCCGAGATCACCCACCCACTGCTCTTGCTTACCCTGTTGGGACTTTCCTCTAACTTACTTCATTCTCTGGACTCTGACAATAAGCTTAACAAATTCTACTCTTCACGCCATCAATAAGACTAAACCATCAAATAAACCTTTTAAGTTTATTATCGGTCCCCAGAACGCAGGAGTCCCCACAATGTGAGTCTACTTTCAGGTGTGAGTCCCCACATTGTCGGCTTGAGTCCCCGAAGTGTAAGTGTGTTGTCAGATTTGGGATATAAGTTAATTAACTGAAATTAAAAGACAATTTTAATAACTGATTTATGAATATTGCTGATTTCTGTTTCTCCAAAGTAAGGATTTTGTCTTTTTTTTTTTTAACATACTTTTGTAATTGTCATAAAAAGTTAATATCTTTGCCCAGCTCCTTTAAGGGGTTAAACACACAGATTTTGTCATGTTTGACCATTATGAGTTTGATCAGTGATATCTCTTCTTCAGTGATATCTCGTCTTTGGTCATTGGTTGTGTATTGTGTACATTGTGGTGCACAATACACAAAAGATTGCTAAACACATATTTTGTGTTATTTTATGTTACAGATTGTTAATGTTTATCACATTTTTTGGAAGCCGGAACAATGAGGGAAGAATCAGGGTTGCCCGTTTTTATTGATTATAATTTATAGTGATCCCAGTTTGATCGTTGATTGACTTTATAATCTTCAAACCAAATTAAATAATCACTCAGGAGATTCTTTAAGACAAAATCCTCTCTCTAATGTCGGAGTTGTTGACATAGAAAAGTTTGGGAACTCCTGGTTTAGTTTTTATCAACTTCATTTTCAATTGTCTTAAGTTCTTTTTAATCTCTGCCGCACATGTTTGCATTTAGTGGCTGTTCGGGTTCAAGTTGATTCTAAAATATTTTTTCGGGCCCCTAAAGTTTAATGTTGGCCCTGCTGGCTGCTTACCTTCTGCTGAGTACAGCAGCTCATCGACACCATCCAGGGATGTTAAAAAGTAAAAATAAGATCCCAGGACTTAAAACTCTGTACAAAGTGATACAACAGCACTTCATGGTTGTCCCTCCTCCACTTTCTCCTCCTCTTCCTCACACCAGAGTACTCCTCTTCTCCCTCTCCCTTTCCCGCTCCCTTTCTCCTCTGTCCCGGCTCAGGTCTGGCGTCGGCAGCTCGCCGTGGCCGACCGTGTTGTTGGGCTCGTAGCGGGACGAGGCGGGCGAGTTCTGCATGACCACCAGGCGTATCGGCGACTGGCTGGGCGGCGCCGGCGCGTTGTCGGGGGCGTACTCCTTGGTGGGGTCTTTGCCCCGGCAGTCGTACAGGATGCAGGAGATGAGGAAGACCAGGAGCAGGATGACATAGCTGGCGACCAGGATGATGAGGTTGAGGGTGACGGGGTCAATCTCCAGGTAGAATTCCATGAAACCCATGGTGCCGCTTCATATCTCGCCCCGATCCAGAGGAAGAAGAGATGATGGGAAAATCAACCAAAAAAATAAATAAGCGAAATATGGGGCGAAAGAGAAGAACAGAAGGCAGAAAAAAGGCTGCGATGATGGACGAGGGATGGACAGCTGGCTGGAAAGAGAGAAAGAGCAAAAGGCAGCAGAGGAGAGATGAAATGAGGGATCAGCTGAGAGAGAGAGAGAGAGGGGCAGTGACAGCAGGCCGGGTGGATATGAAGCTTTCTGCTTTAAAGGACATTAATCCTTGCTGCTCTTCCAACCTTGAGTTTCAGCAGCCAATGATTAAAGCTGCTCAGTTTTAATAACTTAAGCCTCCATTTTGATTTTGCCAACTACACGTACAGCACAGTGACAAAATCATACTCAGCAAAATGGAGGACGGGACCGCACACACCTGTCAGCCTGCCACGGCCGTCACTTTGGGGGATTTTGGGACTCGTGTATTAAACAACTACTTTATTATGTCACTCTGAGTGATTATTTTTACATTTGAAATCATCTAGATTAAAAGCATATAAGGTCACAGAACCAGCTGCGGTTTTGCCTAAAACATGTGATGATTTTAAGAGCATTGCTGTTAGCATGTTAGCACATCCTGGTAATGACAGATAGAGGACCCCCCAGATTTCAGACTTACAGGCAGAGCTTCATCTCAGTGACTACAAATCCATCCTCTAACTTGATATTTAATACTTATTTGCAATAATTGAACGGTAAAGCTACAAATTAATTCAATTATTCAGCTTTGGTAACCCCTAGTGGTATTGTACTAGCCGATATGTACATTTATAACAACTACAACAGTAATAACATCTAACATAACAGGAAAAGGAGCCAGTTTGTAGCCTGTTAATTAGTCAGTAACTGATAAATCTGGCAGACTTATTGATGATAACGTTGTTTCAGTGAAGTTGGAGGTTATTTATTCCGTGTGTTGAACAAGCAGACTGTGTGATGTTACATTGTGTTGGAATAAATGAACTAAATGTTCAGTCTCCTTGCTGCTTGTTCTGACACATTCACAATCATCACAGGCCGCTGTTCACATATCATAAATGTGTGATGACTAGTCGACTAGGAAAATCTTAAGTCGGCGACCTTAGTAAATGTAAATCTGTCAGATAAATGTAGAGAGTAGTAAAGTTCCTCAAACATGTAACTGTACTAAAATAAATGTACTTGTTATAAATCAGACACATGGGTCACAACAATCTGCACTAAAAAACACATTATTACTGGAATCAATAAATCTGTACAGAGGAGACGACCTTCAGTCTTATTTTCTTTCTGCTGATGTGTGTTGAGCTCCTGTAGGTGGCGCTCTTTTCTCTGTCTTTTCTGCCACGGTGGCTGTCACTGCTCATGCTCGCTGCCATGCTCTTCAGCTTATGACAGAGTCCGAGGACCGATGGGCTCACAGCACTGAACGTGTTTGGGACAGACTGCATATATGGATATGGATATGATGTCACGTGACCCATCACCCACATAGCAGCACAAGGCTCCACATGAAAGTCATACAAACTGGTTTTCTGCTCTGAAAATGCTTCATGTTGTTTGGATTCATCTGTTCTGCATTATGCGCCAGTGCCGCAGCCTCCACGAGCTCCTCGTGTGTCTCTCTGAAAGATAAACCCTAAGCACAAAAACAAAATCCAAAATGCAGAAACAGTTCAACAAGTTCACAGTAAGAACTCTGTGTTGTATCTCAGAAAGTGTTCAGATCCAGTTTGAATGTCTGCAGACCTCCCAGTGCTCCTCCTGTCTAAATAAAACGCAGAAAAATGAAAAGAGGATATCCAGTCGCTTCAAAAAATGTTGTAAAATAACAGAATCAGGAAATACCTTTCAAACCAGGGACACCTAACTACTGTCCTCGACAGCAGATGGTGAGCGTTCAGGGGGGAAAAAGGCGGGGTAAAAATAACAGAGCAGGAAAAATATAGCAAAGCGGATATTAGACTTTAGATAGAGGACACCCAAACAAGCTGAATGACCTGCTAATGGTATAAGATCAGCCTGACCCACTAAACAGTAAGACAGGCTGTCCAACCCTTTATGAACGAGGAAACAAGGAAACAGAAAGAAGTGTGCAGAGACTGTAAACCGTCACAGGTTTGTGGATTCTCTCTAGTTTTTGATCGTGAAACAGAAAAGTTGTTGAAGAGTTGGAGAAAACGTCAGCACCTCATTTTATAAATACATATGGGATATCTAAATAAAATATCTTAATTTAAAAATGTGATACTTTGGCTCTGTGTCTGTGGTCACCACTCAGTGACTCGCCCACAACACGTTATCCACATCTGGAGCCGCTGGAGATATTTTGCCTTCTGATTTTGAAGTTTTCCACCGGTGGCAGACGCAGCCTCCTTCTTTAATTTTGTTCAACCATTTTAAAAAGGTCAGCATTGTGATATTTGCACACGTCCAAAAAACCTGTTGATATCCAAGTCTTTCATAATGTTTAACTGTCGGGCGTGTTTCTTCTTCCAACCAGGAATAAGTGGCTTTTCTCTTGTTGTTGCAAACTGTTGGCTGGTTGGTTTGTTTACAACAGAGCTGACTGTAAACAGGCAAACAAATGAATGCGCTGTATACACGTCCAGACAATGCTCCCAAAACCTGAACAATATCAACATAACCCACACGTCTGAATCTGAAAATCAGAATAAAACCTAATAGGAATAACCAAGCAGAAAATAAACTCTTCCACTCTGTTTGTAGTGAAAATACAAGTACTAACTCATGCATTGGTACCATCATGTCATGATACCAAGTCAGGAAGGAAGGAAGCTAAATAAAACTGCAAATTTAGGCTTTTTGGCGATGGAGAAACTGACATGGCCCTTTTCAAAGGGATCCTGTGACCTCTGACCTCAAGATATCTGAATGAAAATGGGTCCTATGGGTTCCCATAAGTCTCCTCTCTGCAGACAATTTAAGCTAATCCCATGCAGTATTTTGCTTTATGTACAAATGTTATTTTAGTATTTTGGAATAGTAGGGGGTCCATAAACAGTGTTGGAATTACATCATTTGGGAATAACTGAGACACAGACTTCATGCCACTGATGCATAAGTCAGTGTCCAAGTCTAAAAAGTCTAAAAAGTCTACAAAACGCTCCTGGCTGGACGTTTATGGTGTGCTGCACAATCGTCCAATATGAGTGTAATTCCTGAGGCAACTGGGTCCTCTCAGATATGATGTCTTTAACCAAACACAGAGCTGGTAATAGAGAACAAATGTGATATTAAATATGGGACAGCCATGTGTGTGTGTGTGTGTGTGTGTGCAGATGTGGAGGATAAAGTCCTCTCAGGAATCAGGCTAATTCCTTGCACAGTCGTTGCTGTTCTCCATCTGTTTTTTTTTTCTGCCAGTGAATGAAGGAAAAACAGACGACAGATGGATCAAAAAGCTGAATTAAAAAGAAAAAAACGTCGGATTGTCTGAGGAGGTGAAACTGGGACACAAAGTTAAAAATCTACTCAGGTTTTAAGAAGCCTTAAAACGGACCGTGTTGTTGTTTCTTTCATCTTTTAGAGAGTTGAAACCTGGAATAAATGTCTGTGAGCTTCACACACTGACGCTAGCCTCTGACTGTTCAGATGAATTTCCTTCCTTCCCAAGAGCCAAATCTTAACCTACGAAAGGTACATAACTGACCTTTTCTTAATCTTAACAAATAGTTCTTTGCCTAAATCTAACCACACAAGCTTTATTTTGAAACTGCAACCGGATGTTACATATTTATTCTTGCTAACTTTAACATGGGGTCTTGTGCATCCAGACTCTGTGATCTGGGAATGTGTTGGTATTTCGTAACTGCGAACACCTCACCATCCCTCCATGCTGAGGCTGCAGGGTGAACAGTTCAGGTCCAGCACTCCTGATGCAGAGCATTGTGTTGTTTGAAGGAAGTGGAGGCACCTCTGTGCATTGAGGCTTTTCGTGAACAGTCTTCTTATCACAACCGCGACTGGCAGAACGACAGCGGGCCGCAGTGGCAATCAAAATGGGGCTGCCATTCTTTCGAAACACAATGTGCACTTCCTGCGTTGAGGCGGCTCCCGTCGGTCACAGCACCCACCGCAAACTGAGAGCTACGAGCACGCCCTATTATTTCAATAAACCTTTAAATCAATCAGCACGCCAACGAATGAAAGAAACAGATGCACAGAAAAAAGTTTGAGGGGAAAAAGTGGATTTTTGACGGATGAAAGGAAGTGCCTCTCCCTGGTTAATGGGGCCTTTCGGGGCCTCTGTGCCATTGTTGGCCCTGCTGGTCGGTCTCCTTCAGAGGCTGAAACCAGCTTATATCACAGGATCTTTCCCACCACAGTCCAACTGGAGCCACACTGAACCACATCCTACATCCACTACTTGTTCTACAGTCCCTGTTTCTCCTTTAGGGTGTGCTGCATTTAAAGACCAGATGAACTGACAAATGCATTTTTAAGAATGAAGAAAGAAATCTTTAAGATCACATCCTGTCTTATTGTTTCCCATATTTAGCAATGTATGAAAAAAATTATTGTTTTTTTGTATTTTTATATTCCTGTAAAACAAATTCACCTGTCAATCAATCTTCAACCTTTAGCGACACAGAGCGGAGATTCATTGTATCGCTTGTAACAAAAACAAAACTTTATCAGTGATTTGTATGAAACTGTATTATATTTTATGGAGAGAATATTGTCTGGTTTTCCCTCTGACGTCGCCCGGCTGCTCTGCCTGAACTCTGCTAACTGCTAATGTAGCAGCTGTCAGTGTTAGCAATGGAACAGGGCTCAGCAGCCTCCCAGTGATCACAACCTCTGAGACAGACAGAGGACAGTTTGACGACAGCGCTACCGAGGTGATTTATGGAGTTTCCTGATGGACTTCCACGAATGGCAATGTTGGCCACACCTCAGTACTTTATTCCCTGCCGTCTAAGTGTCCAATGTTGACATTGGATGCTTAATTTAATGATTTCAAGTCCTGTAAATTAAAGGCAAAATACTCAAGTTGCTTCCCACATTTACCTCACTGCAATCAGTGAAGAGAAAACAAATCAAAAATAATTCCTTTCAATGGCAAAAACATCCGTCTGAATGAAGCTTGTGTCTCAGCAGACAGATTTACTGGACTGAGTGGAAGAGAAAATCTATAAACAACAGTCTTATAGATTGTCCAAAATCTCTGTCCTATAAACAGACTTCCTCCCGAGTCAGTTTGGGAGGAAGGAGTGTATATTGCCTTCCAGCCAAAAGAAGGATATGAAGATTTAACCTCTGCAGCCTCGTAACCTCCACAGTTCAGAAACATTTCCAGCCCCCACAGCTTCCCCACAGAGCAGTCAGATGCTTACTGAAACTTAACTCAATACAATAAATGCTTTTCAATCCAACTTCACATTTTAATTTGTTCATAAGGAATAAAAGTTAACAAAAGATTTGATGAAAATAGTAACCTTCCTCACATTAATACATCAAACAGAAATGTCTGATTTCCATCATGTTCTCCATCGCTTGAGCTGACTGGAGCTCTTTTAATGACTTTGCCATTGATTAAAATATCTCTAGTCTGCTGACGTTGCTTCTCCTCCACCTTCCTGCTCAACTAATGAGGTTACATAACATCACACTGCTGTAAAGTGACATTGCTGTAGTTTTATGATTACAAGCACAAGTACATTAGGTTACTTTATTTATACCCGTAGGTCAGTCAGGTTTGCCAAACAGTGGCTCTAGATAGGGCCGTGAGAGAAAGTGAAGCAAGTTAGTTTCAATCTGCAACTACACACCTAGATTCTGGACCTTTAAATGCAGTCGACACTAAGCTGTATGCAGCCGAATCCATGGTGGCGTAATCAATATGCAAATTAGCATAAAAAATCATCTGGAGAGATGGACAGAGCGATGGTAAGAGATATCTACCTTAATTAGCAACAGGGTTCTGAAGTGATGCTAAAACTTCACCTCTCACAGCTTTAATTTCATTATTATTTCAGTCCGAGCTCAGAAGGTTTCCATCAGATTCCAGTTTTAGAAGCGACTCTGGAAACAGGAAGGTTTGGATGTGAGCCTATAATGAGCTGATCTCACTGACAGCGCCATCGACATCCAGCCTCGTTACCGATCCGCCGACCTGTCAGCGGCTGCTGCAGTCTGTCAGCTGACAGGTAATTAAAGCTCACCTCTGCAGATACTAGGACACTCTCCGCTCGCTCTGCAACTAATGAGCTCACTCTTATTGTGTGTTTGCAGTAGAAACCATTATAACTCCTCTGGTTTCATCATCATTAAAACTGAAACAGTGTGCAGTGGGTGTTACAGTGGACGGCAGTAAACGCTCAGTGCCGCCATGATGGCTTTCAAAAGAGGAAGTTAATGAGAACAACCTTTGACCACACAGGATGGTCCCCTACAGAGACTTCTGTTGATACTACCTGATAACATGTTGGCAGCCATCTTGAACCAGAGGCTCCTAATGAAGTCCCACTGTACACCTTGCTGAAAACATTTATATAACACCCGATCTGTCCAAAACCAGAGGTGTGGAACCAGGTTCCCTTCCGCCCAAGGCCGACTCTGCTGACCTTGAGGCTCGTCTGAAGGCAGAACAATCACACGGCTGCAGGGGAATTATTTCACAGTTTGGGTAAAGGGTGTGTAGGAGCAGAAAACAGCTTCCTGTTCTCCGTCTGATCCCCTTTAATCGTGCCGATTCCCTGTCTCTTTGCGTGCCAGGCCCTTTCTGGCTCAGAGTCTGGGGTGTGTTAAAGGGGGGAGGAGGGGTGACACTGCCACTGTGTTGCACCTCTGGTCGCTCAGCCGGTCACTGTGTTACAGGAAGGGAAGGGAGGGTCGGGATTTCCCCTCTGAACCCTCCTCACACAGCCTGAGGCGACACAAAGCAGATAACACAAAGAATAAGTCATTCAATCTGCCACCGAATACACCTCCAGTGGTTCAGTTCTACATTATTTACCTCTGTTAAATATTTCTGTAGTTCTTGGAAATGTTTCTGATCCCAGTGGTTTTTAGCTCTAGAGAAGGCACTTTGGTCCAGATTGAAATATTTTAGCCATGAGATGATTTTACTGACTTTTCCTGTCGGTTGACATTTTTTACTTCTTGTTTCTCAAACTTTCAAAGTTAAAATATCAGGCTCTCCAAGAAGCACCAAGTGACCATCGACCATTCCAGCAGCGTTGGCCCACCCTGAGAGTGAATGCAGGAGGCAGGTTTATTCCCAATAAGAATAGAAGATGTTATTAATAAAGCTAATCTGGTGGAAAATGGGTCTTCCTGGTCCACAATTCTCTTCCTAATAGTTCCTGTTTGGGGCCACTCTTGCAGTGTTTTTTAACCGTTCATGTGACCTCTGCCCACTATCTTACCATCACATTTTAGCTCCGTACTAATTTTGGATGTATGCAGGAAATATCAGTGGTTACTAAACAATCACTTTAGTCATTGTAGCGCCATCATCAGGTCAACTAATGATATTCCCATCAGCCACAACTGTACTTAAGAGGTATGTCAGCAGTGCTTGACTCGCAGTACGTCACCTCTGCTGGCTTCGACAAACTGTCATGTCATGTCATCAAAATGGTTCTTCACAAACAGATGGGTGACATCACTATGGGTTAAAAAACAAACCTTCAAATAAATTATAGTGAAATTCTCTTCCTACAACTTTAGTTACTCAAGTAAAGTACCTCGAATTTGTACAGCATTTGAGTAAATGTACTCGTGTGTTCCAGCAGTGGAAGTCACCAGCAGCTGGATTCATTGTATTTAATCAGATGATCTGTTGGTTCTGACGTTCGTCCACTTAACTGCTTCTATTTTTACCTTTGCAGCTCCGTCACTCTCAGAAAGGGAACTGTAGCTCCTCGAAGTGTCTGCAGGAACCAGACTGAGGTGATGCAACGCTGCATCCTCCCTCTCTCTCTCTTCTCTCTCTCTCTCTCTCTCCACTCTCTGTTTATGTCTCTCGCCCTACCACCCCCCCTCCCCCCACATTCCCAGGATGCTGCACTCCAGTGGAGATAAAGTTAGCACTGCAGAAGTGACAACGCGTTGTAACCGTTACCTGTCACCACAATCTCCTCCTCCTCCTCCTCCAAATGACGCAACACCCCCCCCTCCAGTTTATTATCTGGTCGTGTGTCTGTGGGATGCTAGGCAAAATAAACACAACTAAATATAACTGCTATAACTTTCCAGTCTGTCAAGCAGCTCTGAGTACAAAATGCTCAGTGAGTAAATTAAAAAGTCCATCAGTCTCAGGTTGGCACTTGAATGTTGACTTTAATAGAACAAATACATTTATTGACATAGAATAAATAAGACTGAACACTAGTTCAAGGTAATATAAAGTGAGACAGCGTCAGATTGACCCTCAGTTAAACAGTTACATGTGAACTCTTTAATACAGTGAATACATGACATTTGGTTATTTTTCATCACTTTGGATCTTAGTGCACTAGTTTAAACATACAAAGGTTCATGCAGATCAGAAATTAACCCCATCTGAGAGCTCAGGATTCAGAACGTTACTCCGTAATTCAGTCACACAGACCGGATATTCAAAGGTGTTATCATGATGTTTTCTATCTGCATAAAAAGATATTTAATATAAAACATTTCTGCATTAAAATGTATAAACACTTATTAAGCACATTATACTTACATTGTGTTCTTACAAAGTTCGGTCTAGACCTGCTCTATTTGAAAAGTGTTCTGAGACAACTTCTGTTATGAATTGACATTATCCCAAATGTTTCCAACAATGTTCAAACTTCAAATCTGTCATTTTATTCAGGTAACGCTGCGTTTCACCAGTTGCGTTGTGGTTGTCTGCCAGAAGCTGTCACACATTGGCTGTTTATCCAGTCTGAAGCCACATTGTTACCATCCACTGTTTAGATCTTGGTGCTTTTTAACTCTTTTTTGCAACCACAGTTTTTATTTTGCACTTGGTTGAGTGAGCGGAACAAATCAAAACAAACATTTAAATCCAGTATTTTTTACCTGCTACGTGACCGAATCACAAAGTCCGGAGTGCTGAGATCACAAATGGGGTTTACACTGAATTTTGTCCAATAGAGAGAAACATCAACAGTAGAGTACCTTGTTAAATGTCTGTTATAGCTTATTATCAGCATTTAGGTAGAGATACTGTACAACAGAGATGAGCTTTGTTGGGCGACAACTCACTTTATTGTGTTGTGAATTTCATTTAAAGTTGATTAAATCTACTTTTTTCAATCGAAATCTCTCATTTACTAAAGTATTCAGAGCATGTTTAATTATCTTTACATCATCACTATCAATGATTGTAGTCCACCTACAGCTGATAGACCTTTTTCACACCAGCCATTTTGACACAAAATCATGTCTGATTATTTTAGGTACTGGTGAGTGCACAGATGGTTTCTCCTGCTCTCACAGACGACCACACCTCTGGACATTTCCTCTCCAGGCAGGTCGTTCCTGAGTTAGGAATTCCCAACTTTTCCAGTCAAATCCAGAGCTCTTCAAGGAGGCTTTCAGGGTCTCCTTGAAGTGCTTTTTGGGGCCATCGTGCGTCCCCTTGCCAGTTTTCAACTCGCCAAAGAAGACTTGTTTTGGCAGTCTCCTTCAGGGCATTCTGGTGAGAGTCCATCTGAGCAGGGCGGGGATGCTTTGAATAGTGGTCTTACTGAGGACTTAAGTGTCAGGGATTCTGTCCTACCACCTGATCGCAGCAGCTTCTGCAGACAGCTCATGGCTTAGTAGGGTAAACACAGGTGATACTAATTACAGTTCAGTTCCATTTAGTGTAGCAGAGCCAACCTGAATGGAACAGAACCTCAATTAGTATGATCGGTAACACCTGTGTTTACCCAACTATTTCATGTCAAAAAGGCCGCTCTGAAAAAAGTATGTTTACAAAATCAAGTCACTGTATATGCAAGGTACAGACCAGAGGATGTGTTTTGAGATGTAACTTACATAAGATATTATAGAGCTTCCATTTTGAAAACGCCTGTTACTTCCAACCAGACCTCCCAGAGCTCATTTTGTGACACTATATTTTCCAACCAACAGTCTAAAACCCAAGTTGGTATAAAACAGAAACAGGGCAAATTTGAAAAGCTGAAACCAGATGATTGTTTGGCATTTTGGATTAATCAATTATCAAAATCTCAGCAGTAGAGAGTACAGTCCTCTCTCCATTGTCCAGCACATCAAGTTCAAAGTCTCCATACTTTTCTGTTGCTGAGTCATCCTGCAAGCTGCTGTGTGTCCATCCTTTACCCAGACCATCACAGTCCTTTAAGGTGTCTGCAGAGACATCCAGATGGACAAGACCCTGCAGCAAGTACAAGCATCTCTTTACAATAAGTTCACCAATTCATATCCCTGTTAATGCACGGTGCGTTCAAGTTTACAGTCTCCCTGAAGTAAATCGTCTGAACCACCAGTGTCACTTTTTGGATAAAAAGAGCTTAAACTTGACCTCCACTCAGAACCGGATTAAGGACTTTAGATCAGGCCACGCAGTATCCCTGGCTGGCCATGAGAGCCGTCTGGCTCTCCCTCCGTTTGTCTTTCTTCTTCCTCAGTCGGACCCTCCAGCAGACAGCGCTGGAGCCCAGCAGGCCCAGTCCAGCAGACAGCAGCACCAGACCCAGCACCGAGATGGTGGACCCATGGGAGTTGAAGGTGTACGCCACCGCTGTCACCACGATGCCGGCTATTAGGACGACCACGCCGAACGGCACGGTGCAGCGGTAGCAAGACATCTCAGCGCCGCCGGTGGCCGCTGTCAGCTGGACCTCATTGATGTGCGGGACGTGCGTTGTGACGACGACACTGTGGTCCTTCCTGGGCTTGTCCCGGCTCAGCTTCTCAGCGGACAGCGATGTCGGCATCCTCATGGCACTCCTTGGGATCCTGGCACCGCCTTTGCTGTGGAAATCGTCCGGCATGGTGATTTTACTAGCGAGGAAAAGGTGGGCCATCTTGATAGTGATGTGAGCAATCAGCCAATCACAGAACAGCTACCTGGAAACAGACAATTAAAGAGGTGAAAGGATTAGATAATCATCACAGCTACGGTGGCCTATAAAATACAAATATTCTCCAATAAATTCTCTAATAAAGGTAATACATCATCATTTAAGCTACTTTAGACAAAACTTTAGTGTAAAAACTGAGTCATTAGAGTAATTTTATCATTTTAGCAAAACTAATATCAAAAAGATTGAAAACCAGTTAATCTGCCATAAAGGCTGGGCAATATTACAACCTGCAAACTATTACTTTTTGTCAAAAAGTAACGTGGATGGCAGCTAGCTATACTAAAACAGGAGGAGTAGATGAGTTTAAAGGTTAGATTTAGAGCAAATAACTTATATCTGTGTAAGGATATAGGTGAGTCAGTTACATGTGAACTTTATTTCCTCCAAACTAGAGTTTGTTGTTGTAACGGTGAACACAATAAAAGAAACATCTAACTTCATATTCAATCTGCAAAGATTAGTTGATTAATTATCCTTTATGTAACATAAACAACGCATTCTCACAACCAGGACCTGTCCTGATACTAACAGAGAGAGGTTAGTTAAGGTGGATTTGTTCTTCACTACATGAAAACTGCCTGAAAAGAATTTAATGACATTTTCAAGAAGATTTATCTATTGTGAATAAAACAAGGCTTTATTTTTACTAGAATAATCATAATCACTCTCTGCGACTGGAGCCACCCTGTTTTCTCTGGGGTTTGTGATGACTGACACTCCACCTTAACCAGGCTGACTGAGGGAACAACTTCAAAAATACTACCTTTAATTAGGTTACACACAAAGGCAGGATTCCTTAACTTTAACCTTAAAAACCCTGAAATTTTAAGGTGGAATGTGAATGACATAAATCACTTTAAGGAGTAAAACCGCTTCATTTTAACTTCACAACGTTCAGCTTTTTACATTTTTGACATTTTTGAAGGATATTTGGTGTCACAGCTTTCAGTAACAACTTATTTTATGTCTGTTACTTTTTCATTATGAATTGGCTCAAATATATATATAAAACAATGTTCACACGTTTACAGTTGCAAGTACATATTATGGCCTGTTTTTGGCTGTAAAAGAAGGTTTTCCGCTTTGAAAGTGTTGACAAAAGCAGCTCCTTTTTTCTCAGTGTAACATCATCGATATATCGTCATTTATACGGTGTCAAATATAATAATGAAGACTTTCACAAAGTCTTTATCTTCACTCCCTTACTGTGAAAATCTGGTTTGTGCATAAAATCTCATAACTAGTGGAAAATAATGATTCTGTGCACTGATGATACATTTAAATGCCTCCACTGTCACATAATCTACCCTTTAATATCTTAATACCTCACATTGTTCTTAATTTGCAGGATTTAAATGAAGAGCAGCTGTTTAAAAGTCAGTTATTCACATTTGTCCTTCATCTGAAAATGTAAGTTTAAGGAGGTTTTTAAGATTCCCTACGTTGCTCTGAGATCAACAATCTGCACTGATGTGAGGGAGAAAAGACTGCAGAGCTGCTGTTAACACACACACACACACACACACACACACTAACAACCTGACTGTTATCACTGCAGGTTGATAAGCTTCATTGATGCAGCTGAACACCTGCTTTCTATCCTGGAAAAGATTAGAAACACTTACTGTGGCAGCGTGCAGCTCTCCATTCTTTGTGTTTCTCAACTCAAACAGTCGTATTTTCATTTGTTGGCGTGGAGGCTCTACAGGTCGTCTCTCTCTGCGCTCGGCACTGTGCATCGTCCTGACTGCAGGAATAAATGGGGGGAATATGGCTATCAATAGAAAAAAACAGGGGGGACTGCCCTCCCCCACGCCTCCTCTCCCCTCCTCCCCCCTTCCATACCACCTCCTGTTGGACTAACAAGAAAAGTTTTAACTCTTTCCTCCCTTCAGCACACACTCTGCTCCTCAAAACAACCTCAGTTCCTGTGAAACTCTTCTTAATTGATGCTAAACCTCCTTAAAATCAGTTGAACTAGTTACACACAGAGCAGGAAAATACCTTAATTTGCCATTTTTCCAGACCACCTTAAATAACACCTTCATATTCACAGTTTACTTCGGGAGCCGAACCATTAAAACTAATTAATGTCAAACTGCTAATCAGCAAGAAGCATGTATGTGGAGTTTTTAAAGGATGAAGACTATCTCATCCTCATTGCTGAGATGAAAGTAGAAACTAAAACCGGCTCATTTTATTGGATTTACTGTGATTAGTGGATATTTAAATTTACTTTATTTAAGTGTCTTGGCCAAGAAGCACAGACGACAAACATAAAACAATTCAAACTGAAAACAAAGAACAAATTTAGCTTTTACGTATTCGATAAGACACACAACAAACTGACTTTAGAAAAGAAAATGGAAACCAACATTTTTAGCATCGACAGTGTTTCCTCTGAAAACTTTTCATGAAGCAAATCCAGACTATAAAAGTATGAATCTTCATGTTGGGAGGCCACTTGCACCAAACTGTGACGTTGTTTCCTTTTTAAGCTTTAAAGACCAAATAATGTCCGTCCAGCTGAGGAGGCCACAATTAAGACCAGTTCTGGTTTCACTGCAGACCACAGTGTGAGACTTTTGAAGACCATGAGCACTGTTTTTTCATAATAAACCCAATGTTTCCTCAATGTAACAGAAATCTATCTCTTAGTTACCTTTTTTTGTATACTGATTACAATTACATGTAATCCATTACTCCCCAAGCCTGTCCACATCAGAGACGTGGTGTACCAGATCCCTGTGGATTCAGCACGACCCTGCAACCCCCTTACCCTATAACCCTTTTCTGTAAGGTTATCTGGAACCCTCCAAACACTGCGATTTTATTCTCACTGGAACAAGTTTGCCTTTGATATTTAATGAATTCAATAAATGAACAAATAAAATCACTTTCTCCTCCAATTTTGTTACATAATATGCCTAAAAACATCCCAGCATGCATTGCAGATTTTTAGAAAGCTGCCTTGAAATCCGGCACAAAAATAACAGGAGGACATCATGTTAGTTCAGATTTTTAGGTTTGGTGCTGGAGACAATAAAACTTTACGTGTTTGGGTGGAGACTGCCTGGGTCACATTTCTTCTCCCAGAATCCTCCTGCATCCCGCCGGGAAGCCTCCACCCTGCAGACCTGCACTTTAACATCTGGGAGGAATCAGCTGGGAGAAACAGCCGAGGTTTATTTATCGTCCTGAACCCTGTTGTCCTCTAAAGTGTCCAAACAGCTCCAGTCTCACGTCCTCAGTGGTCTCGGGGTTCTGTGGAGACGTCAGTCTGTTACTATGTGAAACTACTGGCTGTGTGCAGCATGAAGTCAGACGGAGATTAATTATTATTTAAGATTTATGACAAAGTGGCTGCTCAACTGCATTATTAAACTGCACGTGCTGTTACCACAGTAATGACCTGATAAAGACTGAACCTGGCTCTTTCATCCACACTCCTATGTGATAGTGACGCTCTCCTAGTTTGTTGGTTGTCATTTTTGATACTGCCTAACCTTTTGCTAATCAGATCTCTCTGTGCTCCATTTACCACTACAACCTGCCTTCCCACTATGTCCAGTCCATGTCTTGTGTCGTTGGATCAGTTCCAGCAACACCTGTAAACCAGGAAATCCAGGAATGAACATTTTCAGCCCAAAATACCTGATTTCACAGCAGCTTTTCTATAAACAATTGCAATGCATATTGACGCCTAATGCTTTAGCCAATTCTTTGCAATGAAATTGCAGGAGAAAGTGAACATTTAAAAAAATATATATAATTAAAAATCAAAGGCAACTTGTTCCAATATGAATAAAATAGTTTGGTGTCACATAGCTCAACATTTTGCACAGGTGACTGCTGTGATTGGTTAAACCCGCAGTAAACTATAATGATTGGTCAAATTTGTGGAAAACAATTGCAAGGTTGTGCAGAAATCACAGGACTTTTGTTTTAATTGTTGTGATCATAGCGGAATCATTTTTGGATAGACACTGACAAATTACTCACTATTGGCTTTGGCTAACCTGAATGTTATGCGCTATGAATAAAAGCTGTTAATGTATTGTGTGATCAAGCAGCTGCAGGTGGTTCTGGTTCTGGTTGACAGATGACCTTGTGGAGTTCTTGTGTCTGCAGATCAACAGCTGTAAGGTTTCTCTGCTCTGACATCCGAACCCACGGCCAGCTCTCGGTGCAGGTGCAGCCTAAATAGCACAAAGGGAAGTTACAGCTCCACTTTCCAGGGTAGTTCTGCTGACTTCATGCTAAAGTTTTTCTCCCATCTCGACTGAAAAAAACGCCTCCCTGTTCAGCCACCAGACGTCTCAAGTCTGGTTTCTGTGTCCCAGAAGATTCACTGATAATAATAACGTATAGACAAAGCCATGCTGTTAGATAGCTGAATCTTCACTCTGTGTCATTAAAATCTGAAGATTGATTGATGAGTGAATGTCAGGATGTTATTGGTGGTTGGTTGGTTACATAAGTCGGCGTCATACTTTGTTTTAGAGGGTGAAAACAATTGGAATTTGATATAAAAATACAAAGAAATATATAAAGAAATTATAAAATAGGGCTACAATATTACAAAACAGAAAGGCTTAAAAACATTTTAAGCACTACTTTAATTTGCTGCTGCATGAAACACTGAACCACATCAGTGAAGTGAGATCAAAAGTTGGAGTTGGAGAAGGTAAAAACACAAAAACAATCAGATTTTAATGTGATTTTAATCTCCAGCTGGGAACATCTGGCCTTATTTTCAAACCCTGAGCACACTTTGGTTTTTGCAGATGATCCTCTCTGGGGTCAGTGAGGGCCAGCAGGGCCCCCGGTGAGTCCTTTGATCCAGATCGAGGGGTCACCACTGCGGGGCCTGAGAGAGAGGTTGGAGCCCCAAAACCCAGTGACCTGTTGAGAGACGCAGTCAGCTGGAGAAACCAAGCACCTCCTGACACAAAGTCATTTAATATCTGTTAATGTGTCCTTCTGAGTGTTTGATATATTTGTACCAGGAGAACCTTCACATCTCATTTACATTCGCAGATTCAGGAGCCTCTGCTCACTCTCGGTGGCTCTCTGTGTTCATATTATTTCCCCAAAGGATACGCTGTCTCGCTCTCCAACACAGTCAGAGCAAAAACACACCAATGAGATGTTTAATGAATGCATGGAGATGGATTTTCCTTCCTGGCCCATTAGACGCCCGTCAAGGGACGGTGCTAAATCACTTCCTTCCCGGATCCATTTCTGTGTTAGGGGGATGATGAGTTATTTTCTTTGGATCCATCTCTCTGGAGACATGCTCCCCTGCTTCCTCTTTACAACAGATGGTTACAGACGGTGCATGTAAAGTGGTGAGGTTAGCAGCTATTGGAGCGCACAGCGCCGTGTTTGTGCTGTTCCTTCCTCTGAGTACAGGTGTGTTCTGTCACACTTCAGCTTTGTAATCCTACATGCTGTTAATTTCCTTTGGCTCGAACAAAAGTGGAAAAGTTGACTTTGCATTTTTGTAGCTTCACACGGCCCAGAAACTAAAAAAAGTTTCTCTAAAAGTGTAGAGTCACACCAGCAGCCCCATAATACTTAAGTGCTCTTTACAGACCAGAAAACAAAACTGGTGAATTGATCCTCTACTGTGGTGAAAATTGTACAAGCTTTATCTTGAAGGCAATTTCCAGTGTAAATTCAATTGGACTGTATGGAAGTGAGTTTGTTGCTGTGTGTCAAATTTGCAGACAAGTTGGGGTGAGTTAGCGTTAATCGTTGCAATCGCAGTTTCCTGGAAAGACTGACGAGTGACTGAGACCATAAACTCATCAGGAAACTGTTTAATAAGATAATAAATTAAGTCAGAAGTTGGCTCATTTCCCCATAACACTCAATACTATCAGACTTCTTTATTGCAGCCGGTGGAGCTGCCCCCTGCTGGCCATTAGAAAGAATACAGGTTCTGTCACTGCTGTCTGAACATGAGATTTGTTGACAACATGGAGAACCCACAATATCACCAGACTTAGCTTTTAAAATGTTAAAGTTTAATTTCGCCCTCCAAAGAATATATTGAACTCCCTCTTAAAAACATTAAAGTGAGTCAAAGATAGGAGGCTGCAGGAGGGCGGATGAAAAGAGTGGAGGGGATGTGACAGAGGAATACAGGATGTGTTACTGTCAGCATGATTATCATTTGGTATTATTAGGATCACAGGAAACTGAGGATGTTATCAGAGAGAGAAAGAGATGAGCCAAATAGAGAACGAGTGACAGGATGTGAAAAACTGAAACAGATGAAATAAAAAGGTGGGCAGGTCACAGGTGCTCGATGAAAGGTCGCAGCGATGGTTATATAAAAAGATCCTGACAAATAATAATATTTGACCAACTTAAACTCACGGATGTTTTGCCACCAAAATAAAATGAATAAAGCTGAAATTACGGCCGAGCTCAAACAATCAAATCATCAAATAAACAAATGTGTCAAATAAAAAGAATTAAAGCCCGAGAGACGAACAGATGAAGGCAGGAAGGAGGAGAAAAATATAAAGAGAAGGAGAAAGAGGGAGCTCCAGGTTCCGACAGGGGAGGAAGCGTTCCCATAATTCACTGTTTTCATGCAAGAGCCATCATGTCGGCCGCTGTGTTACCTCACTTCCTGCCGCTGAGTGTCAACACGCCGGCCTGCAGCCCTGGAGAGCAGACAGGAAGGGCTTCCAGTTCAGAGGTCAGCATGTCACAGAAAACACTCTCACTAGAAACCGCTGTCAGACGAGATGTTGAAGAAACCGTCCGTCAGTTAGCAGTAAAATCACCTTCACTCTGTGCTGTCTACCCAGAAATATTACAACAGTTAGCTGAGAAATACCTGCAGTCAGTCAGCGCCGGGCCCAGTGGGAGTAATCCGCTATATAAGATATATAGTTTAACCAGTGCTGCAGTCAAGACCACCTTCATCCAGTCCAAGACGAGCAAGCCAGATGCATAAAAGATGTAGATCCACGACTAAAACTGTGTACACACAAAGACAGAAACACGCTTCCTTCATCAGATTTATAAAGGTGGCTAAGTTTCACATTTGGCATTATAAATTTATCTGGAAAACTGAGAGTCCTGCCTAACTAGAAAACAGTATTGGTCTACACTTAGAGATACACTCTGTTCTCATACTCGTTAAGTAACATTAACCCAATACATATTAGGCTATATTGAGTATATATATCATAAATATCAATATAAATATCAATATATATTATATTGAGTTAATGTTACCTAAAAATTTTTTTATTTATAGTTATAATTGGTTTCAACAGTTTTTTTAGTTAAATTATCTTATCGGTTTTTACAGTGTATATTTGTTCATGAATACCAGTATATCACTGTATATTATTTTAACTAAAATGAGTAATGAGGATTATGCCTCACATTGAAAATAAAGGTACTGAAGTATTTCTAGCGTCCCAGAAGACAAACCTTGTTTATCAAATCAAAGTAGATGAGCCGAATCACTGCGAGTGTCTGACCCTCCACAGCTCCTCACTTCATCATCACCTGCCTGTTTCTCTGAATTATTAGGTACAAACTGACCTGTTTAAGAAGTGGAGCATCAGCCAGATGTTTCCTGGTGTGTGTGTGCAGCAGATGGCCGGCACATGAGCTAATAGCTACCTCACCAAACGCACACATACAGCGGACAGAGCAGCGAACTGATGCCGCCACTGTGTCACACTGAGATTCCAGACTTCAATTCAAAACTCCAGTTTCTTCAGTTCTGTAATTCAGTCCAGTGTAAGTTATTTCTTTTCCTCCACAAGATCTCATTTTACTGCATTACATTTATTTGACGGCTGGAGTTACTCTTTAGATTCACATTTTATATTCAAGAACCACCTAAACAACCTTTAGAACACCAGAACCACCAGAAGGAAAACATCACATTCACCACTGTACCTCTATTACCAACTAAACCTGTGACTTTACTTTGTTTGATTTCATTGTTGTTGTTGTTGTTGTTGTTGTTGTTGTTGTTGTTGTGTTGACCCCAGGTGGACTAGCAACCATTCTTGAATTTCCCTCAGGATTAATAAAGTAATCTAACCACTTTTTGGATTCAAATAAAGAATTAACCAGGTCCTGTATTTCAACCTGGTCTTCAGACCCTGTCTGGATGAACAGTCCTTTGTCAGAAAGTAGTTTCACCTTTATGATTGTGTTAATGATCAGTTTAATTGATTCAGTTGAAGGTGATCATTGCCTTTTAAATACAAACGTCCAATTTGTCACCGAGAGTCTTTGAATGAAATCAACCAGCTCTCAAACATTACAGGGATATTACCATTGTGAGTCATTATAGCAGCTTTACGTCAACCAACCTGCAACCATGCTGACATCTAGTGCTGCTGGAAAGAACTACAGCTAATACTTATAATATGACAGTATAGTTACTTGTATCCTCAGACATTATGCATGTAACTGTATATGTGGACAGTTTATGTGAGAGCTCTCAGCTCCCTGAGCTTTAGTTTGACTGTGAGTTGTGTTTTTAGTCAAACTCACATTCAGTGTGTGGATCATCAGAATCTGAATCTGAATCTGTCTGTTTTCTCAATAGTGAGGAAGAATAACAAACTGTTTCCTGGTTTGTCTCAGGTGAGTCAGGTGAGGGGTGAAGATCTGTTGAATGGTGTTTCTGATAATATAAACCGGTTGTGCTACACAGCAAGTACAGTACTTGAGTGAATGTACTCCAAACAACGACAGTACCACAGACAAAAAGACAAATCAGCTCTATGACAACCTGCTGACAGCCAGTATGGTCTACTATGCACCCCAGTTTGTCTTATTTGTATGTTTTATTTGGGTAAATTTACCATCTAAAAAACTGTCATGAATCTTGTTGGTCTCACAATGTTTGATGCTCTTTTACTGTCAGACTCACAGAATGTTACAATGTGCAGCTCTATTGACTAAAAAGGACTTTTGATCCAGATTACTCAGAACTTTGTAAGACTACATTTTCTAAACCACCATATTGTGTTTGTTCCTTGTTTCTTATTATGGAGGTCTGTTTTAACTGTTCATAAATCAATTTACTCAAATACTGTACATAAGTAGAATTTTGAGGCAGTTGTACTTTACATTTCATGCCACTTTATTGTTCTACTCCACTACATTTATTGAGCTGTAGGTACATTTCAGATTAAAATTTTACATAATGAATAATACAGTATAAAACACTTTGTTAAAGATTAAGTTTCCAACCTTTTTGTTTTTCGACCTCTTACCGCAAAGCAGAGCGAACATTTCAGATATCTCTCAGTTTTTAGCAGTTAGTCCTCTAAACTTCTCACAGGATTCAATTTGATGACTGAACAGGTCAATTATCCATTATCTCCCAAAACAAAGCAGAACTCCATCCACAAAGTTAAAGCAGGTTTATGTATTAATGATCTGACGACCCCTAAGATTTTCCTGGTGACCCTTTGGAAGGCCCTGACCCCTAGGTTGGAAACCACTTGCCTAAACTGGCAAACTGAAGCTCCAACTGGAAAATGCTGCTCTAACATTGATCAGTATTAACAATCTAATAATGTCACACATAATCATGTATCAGTCACAGAGACTTGTTTTGCTTCACAAGGTAAACTGTTCATTTATTTATTGTTTTACATCACAGGGTTGTGGAATGAAATGCTAGCTGTAGTCCCTTTATGCTACTCACAATAAAAATTATGTAATAGGGTGAATAATAGGACAATAGATAATAAAGTGCTCTAGGACAATGGTTCTCAACTGGTCTCACCTTGAGACCCACATTTTTCAATGATTTCTAAGTCATAAACCACTTTTATAGAATCCAAACTTGGCACATATACAATGTCATCATGACCTTTGCTCCATAAAACATAAACATATTTTCATCGCTGCATTCAGGGAGGGTGTTGTTAGAGCTGGATTCCTTGCATTCTTCTCTACACATCGACACAAACACACACTGCCAAGGCTGGCATTACATACAAACACAAAAAGCATATGGCTAATAAACACAGACATATTTTAAAAGAAAAGTATATATACAAGCTGTTGTTGTAATTATACACTCAGGCCTCTCATGGATTCAAAAGAGAATAGTGAATAAAGCAATGAATCAATACTTTCGACTGAAATACACCCTGTGTTACATCAGACGCATTCAGCACAGGCGGACAAAACTCCACCCCTCACCTCACTCACCTGAGACAAACCAGGAAACAGTTTATTATTCTTCCTCACTCAAGAGAGGCGCACAGACTGAAAAACAGACGATCAGATTCACCTTCAGACCAAACTTCAGCTAAAGGAGGGAAAAGTGGAAAACTACAACACTGCTGCTTCAACCTGCTGATGTTCCACACACTGAATGTGAGTTTGACAAAAAACATAACTCAAAGTCAAAGTAATGTTCAGTGAAGTTAGTAGAGGAGGGAGGGGAGCCAACGCTGACTGTACTTTCTGTTTGTGTTTGCAGCTTCACTCAGAGACAAAATGGCTTCCAGATTAGAGGAGGATCTCTGCTGTCCGGTCTGTCATGAAGTCTTTAGAGATCCTGTTCTTCTGTCATGTAGCCACAGCTTCTGTAAAGACTGTCTGAAGAGCTGGTGGACAGAGAAACAAACACATGAGTGTCCAGTTTGTAAAAGAGTTTCAAAGTTTGAACCGCCTCGTAACCTGGTGTTAAAGAACCTGTGTGAGGCCTTCATACAGGAGAGAGATCAGAGATCTTCAGATGCTCTCTGCAGTCTGCACTCTGAGAAACTCAAACTCTTCTGTCTGGACCATCAGCAGCCAGTGTGTCTCGTCTGCAGAGATTCAAAGAAACACACCAACCACAGATTCAGAACCATCGATGAAGCTGCACAGGATCACAGAGAGGAGCTCCAGAAATCTCTGGAGCCTTTAAAGGAGACGCTATCGCTTTTTAAAGAAGTTAAAGTGAAGTTGGATCAAACAGCAAAACACATGAAGGTCCAGGCCCGACGCACAGAGAGGTTGATTAAGGAGCAGTTTAAGAAGCTTCACCAGTTTCTAGAAGAGCAAGAGGAGGCCAGGCTGGCTGTACTGAGGGAGGAAGAGGAGCAGAAGAGTCAGATGATGAAGGAGAAGATGGAGGCCCTGAGCAGAGAGATAGTAGCTCTTTCAGACACAGTCAGAGCCACAGAGGAGGAGCTGAGAGCTGAAGACGTATCATTCCTCAACAACTACAAGGCTGCAGTGGAAAGAGTCCAGCAGCGCCCCCTGCTGGAGGATCCACAGCTGCCCTCAGGAGCTCTGATAGACGAGGCCAAACACCTGGGCAACCTGACCTTCAACATCTGGAACAAGATGAAGAACATAGTCTCCTACAGTCCTGTGATTCTGGACCCAAACACTGCTGATCCAAGAGTCATTCTGTCTGAAGATCTGACCAGTATGAGAGGAGGAGAGACACAGCAGCTTCCTGACAATCCAGAGAGGATTTATTCTTACTACTCAGTTCTGGGCTCTGAGGGCTTTAACTCAGGGACTCACAGCTGGGATGTTGAGATTGGAGACAGTACAGACTGGTTACTGGGTGTGTGTGCTGAGTCTGTCCAGAGGAAGGGAGACATAGAGTCTGAAATATGGGGAATAATGTTCTTTCAAGGTAAACACTTAACATGGTCACCACCAGCTCCAGAAACTGATCTCGTAGTTCAGAAGAAGGTCCGGAGGATCAGAGTGAATCTGGACTGGAACAGAGGAAAGCTGTCGTTCTGTGATCCTGATACTGACACACACATACACACCTTCACACACACTTTCACTGAGAGGTTGTTTCCATACATTAACACTGATGATAAAGTCCCACTGAAGATATTACCAGTGAAGATCAGTGTGTCAGTGAAACAAAGCAGTAAGAGATAAAGAGGATGATTATATTAATGATGTTTATTTCTTAAAGTGAAAAGTTAAGTTGGACCTGATGTCTCGTCTTTGCAATCATTAGGTTTTTTTTCTTTTCACATGTAAAAAGATTCCACTTAGCTTATGATCTTTACGTTTGGGTCATTTTTTTTTTAACTGTGTCATTTTAAATTGTTATTCATTTTTTCATTATTTTGACGTGTGTGTGTGTGTGTGGAACAATTAAGACCAGCAACCATTATAGGAAAGCTGATGGATCCAAATAAAGAAAAAAGAATCAATTCATTAATAATTGCATGTTTGAATTGTGAATCAACCAAACTATATTTGAAATCTTAGTCCAGATTATGAAGTTTCCAAACATTAAAATCAATGTTTAATTTCAAATTCTTTACACTATGTAAAATATGTGTTTTAAATGATTAAATGTACAAGTTTTCATTTGATGTGATGAAGCTGAGACGGCTGAGTCAGAGGATGAATTAGATTATACTCTATTTAAGGTGGACGTTAAAATATGAATTACTGATGATGTGTGCTGTGTGTTAATGTAACCTGATTTTTTTACTTCCCTTTGTCTGTTAAACAATAAAATGTTGCTTTTGTAATTTGTTCTCATTTTAAAGAAGTTATAGATTGTAGATTTTTAAAAAGAATAAACCAAACTTCAGAATTTGTACTTCTGAATAAAGACATTTACAATTTATACCCTAACTAATATACAGTATGCACAAGATGCATGGATTTGTTTTGTGTTATGATATTTATATGTTTTTAAAATAAACTGGTTCAAACAATGAGTATAAAATGTAAAAATATTTAAATGGTGTCTAAGATACTGTAAAAGAAAAAATTGAAAAAACTCAAAATATCGTCTTCATTCAATCTCTCAGTTTTAAATCAAAATCCTAATAAACTAATAAAAATGATAATTTACTTTTCTTCTTTAAAAAAGATGTGTTTTTAAGTTTTAGAAACAAAAAACTGTATGTCAACAATAACAAAAAAATTAGGTTCACACTGATTTTTAATCACTCTCCTCTCCAGAACTTAGTCAACTTTCTTTTTCTTCTTCTTCTTCTTCTTCTTCTTCTTCATGTCTTTCGGGTCTGGTCCCACAGGACTGGTCCATCCCTAAGGTCGGGTCCCCCTAGTGGCCTGGCGCCCTTCTGTTTTGTGGAGTGAATTTGCAGCATTTTTCTTTGGCATTTGTTTGTGGGTTTGTAAATTTTTGCTTCTGCTTCGTTTCTGTGATTGCTGCGTTTTTCTGTTGGATTTGTTTTATGTGTTTGTGTGTTTTTGGTTTTGCATCATTCCTGTGTTTGCAGTGTTTTGCCGTTTGCGGCGCGTTTGCCTTTGTCGGCCACCGTAGAAATGCCCATGAACACACACTGTACCTTTTAAACTGTATAAATAAAAAATAAATAAATAAGGATAGTATCTTTAATTAAAGGACGTGAATACATTACATTACATGCAAGAACATACGTTTTATCAAATGTGATTAACTGTTGCAAGTGCTAAATTTAGAGACAACAGAGAGAGAAGATAGAGAGATAGAGAAAAAGGTTTTTTTGTCTGTTCAGCCCAAGTGCAATGTTGTCCCACCATTGTGGAGCCAGGACAGAGGACATAGAGGCTCTAGCATTGTGGAGTTCCCTGTGTTCGCAAGGAGGGCAGTCTAAGTCAAGGTGGTCTGCCTTGAATCCAGACTTGTGTGCAATACAATACATACAGTATACATACATACATACATACTGTAGAACAAAAGGGGATAAGAACCTCAACTTTCCAGTTTGTTATCCATCAGGATCAGAGCTGTGTTGTTGTTGTTTTTTTTTGGTTCAATACTTTTATTATTATTAGTAGTAGCAGCAACAATACTCCATATTCAATTGTACATTGTAACATATTCAGATCATGATAAGTCTCGTTTATGCACATTACACTCTCTATGCTGACCCCTCATGGGCCAACATTAAAAAGATAAACTTACATAGCTTCAGGTTACCTGTAATGATTGTATGCAGATATTACTTATAAATCAAGGTGGTGTAGTTCAAGCCACTTGTTGACACTCTCCACACTAACATTGCTCACTGCATGATACTCAGAACACCATAATCATGTTGCAGTCAAATCCTGGTTTTGGTGTTTACTGCAAAAAAAACCAACACTTTAATAAAAAGTGGCAATGTTTGCCTTTTTTTTTTTTTTTACCTTGTTTACGTTCACTGGTGGACTCAATTGACTCCCCTGGTCTACCAGGTATACAAAAAATGTCAAATTGTGCCCTCTTGAACGCACTTATTTGGTAGATAAAACATGATACAGAGCCCTCTAGGGCAGTGATTCTCAAACCTTTTTCATTAATGTACCCCCTTTGAAATATTTCTTCAGTACCCCTGAACAGTGCAAAACATTTTTGGTAAAAATAAAAGTGTCTATCCAGAGGTACAATACAGCGCTGCTGCATCGTTGTCTGATCAAAAACCTTGTAACTGAAGAGCTTAAATGCTACATTTCAAATATCTAAAATCACTAAATTCATGGCCAATTTTTTGTCATTTTGAAATAACATAGATAGCAGTGAACTTGCATTGAACTGCATCTTTTTGGGGGTGGCTACGTGAACTCCTAGGGATACTTCTGAGTACTTCTACTGGAGTAGAACTTTAAATGTTGATTTTAAAAATATCAGTGCAATAATGCATAGTTCCTAAAATAATTATACTATAAGTTCAATAAAAAATGTAAATGTGAGTTTGATAAACCATATTTTTATATTCAGTATTCCTGTTTCAACTGCAGTAAAACCTCTGCAGTTGCCTCCTGCCATAGGCAATAACAAAGCTCATATTTATCAGTAAATTGTAAGTACAACTTATAAAAAAATGCAGTTCAATACAACTTCAATGCCGTCTTATTTTTGTAAGATGGCAAAAAATTGGCCATGAATTTGAAGTAATTTCAAGACAACTGTTTTCATTAAATCTTTGAATTTAAGTCAAATATTATGTCACTGAACTGAACCTGTTGATTAATTTTAAAATGTGCTTTTTGTTTCTATTCTAAACCGTTTCATTGTCCCATGAAGACTTTACCTAGTGTGTGTTTGACTATATTGTCATTAATTATCTGGTTATACAGCAGGATGGGTGCCCACAGAAGTTACATTTGTTAACAATTTCTATTAACACTTCTATCTGCTTACAACTACAAGGACTAAGGACACCAGGATAGTCCTACAACCAAAACACTAAAACAACCTAAAAGATTGCTGGAACCTTCTCGATCGATCCAACAATGACCTTGAGGACCAAATAATAAGCATCAGAACCCTTAGCCCCTAGAAACTCCTCAGTTGTTAAATACAGTAATAAACTTACCTCATATATGCTTACAACTACATTACAGTGTATTATATACTTGTATAAATGTACTTAAGAGTAAAGAGTTACCATATTTATTCGAGGACCCCTTACTTGTTTTGTCTGGAGCTTTCAGCAGCATCTTCCAGTCTTCCCAAGATAATGAAGTTAGTGAACACACCATCCTCTTGAAAATCAGTATTGATATTCAACATCTGAGCTTCTGATACTCAAGTCAAGTCAGCTAAATTTACAAACCAAATAGGTGAGTGAGATATCAATCATCATCAGCATCATTGGCACCGGATCCTCCCAAGGCTGCGTTCTTTCTTCTCTACTCTTCTCCCTGTACACCAACAGCTGCACCTCCAGTCACCAGTCCGTCAGGCTCCTGAAGTTCGCGGATGACACCTCCCTCATTGGGCTCACCTCTGGTGGAGATGAGTCTGCCTACAGATGGGAGAATGACCATCTAGTGACCTGGTGCACCCAGAACAACCTGGAGCTTAATGCTCTAAAAACAGTGGAGATGGTTGTGGACTTTAGAGGGACCCCACTGACACTGACTCTTATACCCACCCTGTATATATGCATTACATTAATGCACTCTCGTCTTCTGTACAGTTTCTTATCTTTCTTATCTTGATTTATTTATATTTTTAAAAGTACTTTATTCTTGTGTGATTTTTGTGTGATTTGTATATTCTTTTGTGATTTGTATATTTTTGTGTGATTGTATATTTTAAGCACCATTGCACCAAGATAAATTCCTTGTATGTGTAAAAACCTACCTGGCAATAAATCTGATTCTGATTCTGAGTCTAATAACCAAGTCTGATTTACTCAAGTTTAAGTCATAGATACTGAAGTTTAAAATGAAGTCTGTGTCATCAATATTCAAATTGGAGTAACATTCCAGTAATATTAAAGTTATGATCCAGAAATATCCAAGACAAGTGAACCACTCAAGATAAGACCATCAAGGTGATTTTATGTCCTTTAAGGATGTTGACCCACCATTCAACACTGACTCTAAAACAAAAAACTAAAGTTTTATTTTTTTAGCGTTAAGATGATCACAACTCGGTCTCTCTTCACTTCCTCCTGAAGCAGTTCACAATTGGAAAGAAGGTTTCTAATACTTTGTAGATGTCAGCTTCTGTTTTAGCTCCTGGAATTTAACACAAGACTTAAACATTAGAGCTTTATTTATACTCACAATGAAGTTAACAAATATTCTACCAATTAAGAGATGTAAGAACAAGTTGGTAAAGTCTGGGAAGAGCATAGGAGACAGGATCATGTTCATGATCATAAAAAAAACTAGAATCTCCTAAAGGAACACTGGAGCTATAAAGGACCTCTTAACCCTCCTCAGTGACCACAAAAACTACCATAGGATTTACCTAACCACCTAACAGACCTTTATAACCCCTTGCAACCATCAGAAAGTACTGCAAGACCATATTTAATAACCCTTAAAACTAAATACCCATTCAACTGCTTCAGTGACCACTGAAACATCCTAAAGGAACACTACAACCACCTAAAGAAGAACAGCCTAAAAAAACATCATACCGCCAATAGGAAAACTACCTATGGGGCCTCTAGTATCTCCTTGATGGCCTAAGAATCCTTAGAACTTGCTCAGTGAACACTAGAACTTCCACAAAAGCTTCAAAACATGTATTACTACTTAAAGGATGTCTAGATCAATAACCTCAAGAACTTCTTAAAGAAACACTAGAACTATCTAAATGACTCCTAGAACTTTGACAATCTCTCCAAGAACGACTTACAGGACCTCTAAAGCCACATAATAAGCAGACACATATAAAATTATCAGAACCTCCTCAGTCGAGGGGACTATGTAAAGGACGCATATCATTTCTTTAGTTTCAAGTACCACCTAGAACCCCCCAGAGGTATACTAGAACTACCTACAGGTCCCCTCACAACCTCTACTTTGCTGACTAGAACCTCCTTATGGAACAACTATTTACAGGATAAAAATCATTTCTACAAGTAATACCTACAGGACTCCCTGAACCTTTCATTGGAACACTAGAACTACCTAGTGACAACTTTAGTATCCACACTGAACATAGGAACCATCCAACATTAGAACTACCTAAAGGACTTCTGGAACTTTCTAGATCTGTCCAGGAGTGACTTAGAGGACCTCTAGAGCCAAATAATAAGCAGACCCAAATGAAACAACCACTAAACGCTCCTTGATGAACATAAACACTATGTGAGGGACTTCCAGAATTCCTGCAGTGAACTACTAGAACTACCTAATGGACGCATACAATCTGCGCAGTTTCTACAAATACTACCTAGAACCTTTCAGGGGAACATCATAACTACAAAGGGGACTATCCTGAGTGACCATTAGAACACTCCAAAGGTACACTAGAACTAGTTAAAGGACCCCTACCACCTCTCTAACTCCCCACAAGAACCTCTTTAAGGAACCCTATAACTATTTAAAGGTCTGGAGTGTCGAGTTTAGTGGCGGTGTAGTTGCAGATTGCAACTCTCTCAATTCACCCTCTCCTTCTAAGGGTGTGGGGGAAACTACAGTGGCCACAAACAAGCAGAAAATGGCCCTATCTAGAGCCAGTGTCTGGTTTGTCTATTCTGGGCTACTGTAGAAACATGATGGTTCAACATGGCAGCCTGCATGCAAGGCAACCATGGGTGTGTGGACAAAAACAGAGCTCAGTTACCACTCAAAGACATTTTCCCAGATGAAAAGATGGACACAGTGATACCAGGCACCCCCTTGTAGTGGAGGCCAGGAAACAGCTCGGGTTCATAACTGGGGAGAGTGAAAAACACACAAATCCTGACTTAGAATCTGCAATCAAATGTTGTTTAAACTGAAACTTCACTAATGATCCATTAAAAAGACATCAGCAGCACAGAAACACTACATCCTGTCAGCAGCACAAGCTCATACATTTGGGGTGGCTGTGGCTCAGAGGTGGAGCGGTAGATCCACCATCTTTGTGCTCAACTAAACTTTAAAAAAGACTTTACAAGAAGTGTACTTTTATGGGAATCTTCAGTAGGACAAAATGCATTCAGATGGGAGATTGTGGCTAACCACAGCCGGTGTCTCCTGACCTGCAGTCGTGATGGTGGGCCAGTCGCTCTAAACTGACTGGGAAGCTGTTGCAGCTGGCCACCAGGTTATGGATCTTGAAGTTCAGAAAGTGGGCAGGGAAGCCCAGCTTCTGCACTATGCGGGTATACTTTCTGGCCGCCAGCCGTGACCCCTCCACACTACACAGAGGAGAGGAGAAAGGGTTCATACACTGCCCCGACAATAGTCCACAGTTACTGGAGATGAGTTCAGACAGACCTTTTGGCTCCTGTACACACAATATTCCCAGATTTGTAGATCAGTGCTGTGGTTCTCGGCTGACGGATCCTCATGATGAGCGCCTTGTAAGTCTGAAACACAACAAGAAGACTTAAGAACAACAAGCTGCTTTAAAGGAGTCATATTATGCCCCTTTTCAGGCTCATAATTTGTGGCTCTACTACAATAGGTTTAGATGTTTTAATGTTCAAAAAACACATTATTTTGCTCATACTGCCTGTAACTAAGCACCTCTTCAGGTGCTCTTTTCAGCCTCTGTCTGAAACAATACATTTTAGCTCCTGTCTTTTTAAGGCCCCCCTTCCGAAAGGCCCAGTCTGCTCTGATTGGTCAGCATTATGACGTGGATGACACGGATGACGCTTTCTCGTTCGCTCGCTCGCTTGTAGCGGAACTCCGCAAGACAACAACGAAGTAACGTGGGTTGCAAGTTTGATGACGTCAGAAATGGGCAAAAAATCTGAACACTGTTTTATCTCCTGTATTCTGACTGAGGCAGCCCACAAAAACATGACTGAGTCATCTCTTTTCTCACTTTGCCTGCTGATAGGCACTCCAGATTCCCAAATGTATATGAGCAAATGATTAAAAAGTTGGTTTTGCATAATATGTCCCCTTTAAAGGTTATTTTCCAGATATCAGTTTGCCTCAACTTGGACTTCAAGACATAGATTTAAAGTCGACACACTATTTTCAATTGTTCTCTTTGAAATGAAGCCAGTTTACTCATCTAGAGCTCGATATCTGCTTGAGTCCATTTTTTCTGTTTCTGGTGGTGGGCGCTGACGGGTGCACCAGCTGTTTTTTCCATCGCACTTTGTCGAGGCCACATCAGAAGTGATGTGTCTTAATGGGGGTGCTTTTGCCAGCTTTTTTAAAATTAGTAGAATTTTAAAGTAGAATCTCCTGTTTTCAGGTTTCTGTACCTTTGGGTTGTACTCTACGTTCCACGCTTTGCAAGCAATTACGTTCAGGTCAAGACAGCAGCCCAGCTTCACTGTAGAGGTCACGTTCCTGCACACAAACACACAGACTTTTACAACAACACATGAATGCGACATGATGATACAAATTCGGTAAGAGCGGATATTGAAGTCACAGTACAGTCTGTGACCTACTGAGGAGGGTCATGTGATGTAATCTAAAGCTCCAGAACAGCTACTAAATGAACCTTACTGTATCTGTGGGAGGATTTCTGGCATCACGGGGGTCGAGAGACGAACGGGGGAAGCGTCCAGCTCTGGCATGGGCCAACTAACTGTTCCTGCTGAGAAATTCTGGGAGTTGTGGTCCGGACTGCTGTCTGGGAACAGGAGGACAGTTGTCCTCTCTGCTGTTGGTTCAGTGTTTGGATCAGTGTTGCTGTTGTTGCTGCATTACCTGCGTCTTCCTGGTAGAGCTCATCAGGCAGTAAGCTGAAGAACAGCTCATCGCCCGACTCTTCATTCACTTCCTGTTTCTCCATCTTTGAGGGGTCCTGCAGCACGAGAGTGAATCAGAACTGAACTGAACCAACGATGAATTGATCCTTCTTACAACTGCTGTATCCAAAGAGCACAAACTGTGGATGAATCCACTGCTGAAAATACTCCTGAATGTTTGAGAAAAACTACAGTTGAGTCAGGAAATTACTGAACCTTTTTACGAAAATGAGTTTTTGTCTTCAGTCACTACGATTATAATGCTTCAGACGGGACAAACTGCACCATCAGTGTACTTTGTGGCCAAATCAAAATCAGGTAATTAGTCTAATTAAACTAAACAGTTTCTGACCTTGTAGAATTTCATATTTTTCTTCTAAATATTAGTTTTATTTTGCAACCCTTAAAATAGATTTAGCGTTCCTTCTGTGAGTGTTTTTTTCTTTGACAGCTTCTAACACAGCATTATAAGATTGCTGCATTTAGTCAGACATGTCATTACTGACCCTTTAACAGCTTTTACTCACGTTTACAATGAAGTTATCAAAGTACCGGTCCAGCGCCGACTCGTCCATCTGCAGAGGCTTTCAAGGCACTTTAAAGGAACTTAATAAACGTATAAAGTTATAATGTATGACTCTGGGACGCTGCGGTATATTTACTGAAACGCTTACATTCAAACAGGTCATGACAACACTGTTGCTAGGTGACAAAGACGAACATTACCTTGATCTTTTTCAAAAATATTAATAACAGTTTTGGAGTTGGAGGTTAGAAAAGCAATCTCCTGTGTCAGTAGCTCACAGATACCTGGTCAGGTCTAATACCTGGAGAGAGTTCAAATGGAAAGTCATGACAAGATCCTTCAGGAACCAATAAGATCTAATGAGTGCTGGAGGAGATGTATTGATTATTTTTGTGTGTCTGAATGGAGAAACATTTTATCATATTAACACTGAGGATCTCAAAACAGCTGGCGATTCTGTAGAAACTGTAAACTGCATGTATGGAAGTAAAATAATAAATACAGTTATAACTTTATTTTAGTTGCAGAAATGATCAACTGACAAACATTAAAGGAATATTTTATTTCTCTTTCTTTCTGAGACGTCAACACCTCAAACTCATCTTTTATTACTCAAAAACCTGCTTTAATTTGACCTTTTTTAAAGTTATTCTGTCGTATTATTTCTGTTTTTAATTGAACTTTAGATCAATAATAATACGTTTCGCTTCACAAAGAAAACATAAAGCCATAAAATCATTTAAAAAGAAAATAACTGTAAAATAAAGTTTTATTCTGATGTCCTTCCTGACTGATGAGACCAGACTGACGCCTGGTGGTGGAAAGAGGAACATAATCAACAATCTCACATATTAATACCACAACAACAACAACAACAACAATAATAATGTATCTAAATAAACTTTATTAAACAGCACTACCGATCCAAAGTGAACCAGCAGACAGTGAGGGACGATTACAGATAATCACATTTATAGAAAATAAAGAAAAATAAACATATAAATGCAGTAATTGATAAATAATGCAGACAGAGAACAGTTCTTATGCATCATTACAGCATAAACAGCCTCTGATCTCTCCATCAGTTCATCCTCCCCCTTTCTTTCCCCTTCCTCCTTTACATTAAATATTCATTTTCTCTTTCCTATATTTCTTCCTTTCCACTTTCCTTCCTCTTCCTCTTCTCTCTTTAAATCACTTTCCCAATGTTTTCCTTCCCCATTCCTTCTATCATTCCTCACATTTTTCCCTCTTCCTTTCTTTCCTTCCTTTTTAAATTTTCCTCCACCCTTCTCCCCCCAATCTCATGTTTCCTTCCTTCTTTCTTTCACCATTTATCTCCCTTTAATCCATCTCTCTTATCTTTCTTTGGATCACTTTCCATTATTTCTTTCCTCCTTCCGATCCGTCTTCCTTTCCATGTTTCCTTCCTTCCTTTATATTCTGTATTTCCTCCTTCAACTGGAGACGGATGACAGTAAAACTTCATTTTCATTGTACTTTTAACTACTTTTAAGAATTTTACTGTAACTGTATATAATATATTATAATATGAATATATAATCTATATAATAATCTAAGTCATTATTTTGATAAACTCTCTCATTATAATAACTTCACAGACACCCCCCCCCCCCGGTTAATTGCTGCTGAGTGTGTGTGAGTCCGCCCGGGACCGAGGCTCGGCCCTCCCAGCTGTGGGACTGGGCGTCAGTGCGGTGGGTGAACCGCAGTGAAACCTGAGCCCGCTCCGGCCTGCAGCCCCGCTGTATTTTGGGATGTTTTACACGGAGCAGGACAAAGACACGTTACCAGGCGGGAGCCCAGTCTGATGTCCCTGCGCCGGGAACCGAAGGACCGACATTGTTCCTGCGGAAGAAGGAGGACTCAGAGACGGTAAAGTAGTGCTCGGTTCCCGGCTGCTTCTGTCGCCTCTCCGCGGCCGTTAGGAGGCGGATTAACGGACACTTTGCTGCAGTCGGTCGGTCGGTTCTGGAGCTGGAGGACAGCTGACTGGACGGGTTCTGGTTTGAGGAGGTTTTAGGGGCGTTAAACGGACCGGTGTGTCGGTACCAGCGTGCTGCTTTAATGAGCGTCACCGGGCGGACTGACCACAACAGTAGCCACGTGTGGTCTCCCGTTAGCGCCATCTGTCCTCCACCGGCCACCGTCCGGTTAATGAACCCAACCGGCAGCTTAATGACTGCCTCAACCACCGACAGCGACCGTTAGTGTCCCGGTGACAATCTGTCCTCCACCGGCCACCGTCCGGTTAATGAACCCAACCGGCAGCTTAATGACTGCCTCAACCACCGACAGCGACCGTTAGTGTCCCGGTGACAGTTTAACCGCCACTCTCAATGAGTGCGCGAGACACAGCGAAGTAACCGTTTCACCATGGCAACGGACCCGCTGCCTAGTTACCAGCTAACTAGCTAAATGTACAACCTACGGTTAACTAAGAAATTAATGCTAGGAACTAGCCAAAAACTATATTAACTTATTTAACAAGAGCTAACAAGTTGATATAAGGAGCTAGTTTAGATATTAATCAACCATTAATAAGCCAATGTTAACAGCTAGTTAACAACTAATACATTAATGTTCACAACTAGCCACCAGCTTTACTAACAAGCTATCTTTTTTTACAGGAGCTAACCAGCTAATGTGTTAATAACTAATGCTAACTAGCTAACTAGCCTAACTAACAAGCTAAACCAGGTTGCCAAGAAATAACTGACGAGTCAATGTCCGGCAAACCAGTTAACTAACAAGCCAACGGTACCAACTAGTTAACAAATATCAGCTACTAACTAACCAACTAACTAACTAACTAACTAACTAACCAACCAACCAACCAACCAACCAACCAACTAACTAACTAACTAACTAACTAACTAACTAACTAACTAACTAACTAACCAACCAACCAACCAACCAACCAACCAACTAACTAACTAACTAACTAACTAACTAACCAACCAACCAAGAAACTAAATAACAACACGTGTTACCAGTTAGCAGTAAATTAATTAACAAGCTTATAACAGATGGAAGATGCTGTCTGTCTTTCAGCTGACCTGTCTGTCTCTCCTCAGATATGTCTGAAGATGGTGTCTGTCTGTCTGTCTGTCAGCTAACCTGTCTGTCTCTCCTCAGATATGTCTGAAGATGCTGTCTGTCTGTCTGTCTGTCAGCTGACCTGTCTGTCTCTCCTCAGATATGGCTGAAGATGCTGTCTGTCTGTCTGTCAGCTGACCTGTCTGTCTCTCCTCAGATATGGCTGAAGATGGTGTCTGACTGTCAGCTGACCTGTCTGTCTCTCCTCAGATATGGCTGAAGATGCTGTCTGTCTGTCTGTCAGCTGACCTGGCTGTCTCTCCTCAGATATGGCTGAAGATGGTGTCTGTCTGTCAGCTGACCTGTCTGTCTCTCCTCAGATATGGCTGAAGATGGTGTCTGACTGTCAGCTGACCTGTCTGTCTCTCCTCAGATATGGCTGAAGATGCTGTCTGTCTGTCTGTCAGCTGACCTGTCTGTCTCTCCTCAGATATGGCTGAAGATGGTGTCTGTCTGTCAGCTAACCTGTCTGTCTCTCCTCAGATATGGCTGAAGATGGTGTCTGTCTGTCAGCTGACCTGTCTGTCTCTCCTCAGATATGGCTGAAGATGCTGTCTGTCTGTCTGTCTCTCCTCAGATTTGGCTGAAGATGCTGTCTGTCTGTCTGTCTGTCTGTCTGTCTGTCAGCTGACCTGTCTGTCTCTCCTCAGATATGGCTGAAGATGCTGTCTGTCTGTCTGTCAGCTGACCTGTCTGTCTCTCCTCAGATATGGCTGAAGATGTCCGTGGACTCTGATAACTCCTGTGTTTTGCTGTCATCGCGAGACTCCAGGACGTCCTGCGTCTTCCAGACTGCAGACGAGAAAGATGAGCTCCCCGGAGCGGGAGAGGAGAGGTACCCGACTCCAATAATCACTGATGTATTAGTGATCAATAAGATTGATTATGTTATTTAATTTACAGTCAGTTATAGAATTATGATGGAAGAGCTGCATCCCGACGTCAGAGGGATCGAACATCAAACACCTGCTGAGTTTGGATTTTGAGGCCAGATGTCAGATTATTGATCAGTGTATTGATCAGCTTTACTTATAGAAGCTTTAACGGGTTGATTCTGGGCTTATCTGGGTTGTCATGACCTCTGACCTCTGAATGTGTCTCCTCCCGCAGCGTTCTGGAGATGCTGAGCTACTCCAAGTTCTCCGACCTGGAGACATGGCTGTGCATGCCGTCCTCGCTGCTGCTGTCCAGGACCACGCTGGACTCCACCCGCACCTCCTCCGACTCCTCCAACTCCTCCTGCTCTCACGCATCCAACCACTCCTCCCCGCCGATCTCCTCCTCCTCCTCCCGCCGCTCCACCTGCAGCGAGCCGGGGGAGGCCGACACACCACTCAGGTAGGAGGTCAAAGGTCACCTGTTTGTAGACTTTGATGTTTTATAGGACGGGCGACAGACGTCTATTTTTAATTCTGTTTCAGCAGAGAGACTAAAGCTCAGCTGCACCCGGTACCTAAAAATGGGCTCTGTAATCAGCTCAGTAATCTCCTCCTCCTCCTCCTCCTCCTCCTCCTCCTCCTCCTTCAGCCAGCAGAAACGTTGCTCCTCATGAAGTATTTGTCTGGCTCCATGGTGATGGCAGTAATGTAGGGGGAGATAAGCCTGAGGGGAAACACTGTTTACAGATGTGGGGGGAAACACACTGCTGATATAAGGAAGTCATTATGAGGTAGCGGGAACCTAAAGCACCAATATCGGTGATTTTAGAGTAGAAAAGGAGTAAACACTGTAAACAAATGGTGGTGTGAAAGATATTTACAGCGTAAAACAATGATGTATAAATCCAGGTGAACTCTGCTATAATACAATAATCAGGCTTACATTTACAGCAGAGTACTGTTATTATTGGATTGTTATTATTTTTATCTGAAACATTTGGACTCTTTAAGTGCATTTTCTTTAAATCAGTCATTTTATGATTATTAGTTACATATTTTTCACATTATTTTACATTAAACATATAAAATCCCAGACTTGTACAGCGGCGTTGTCTGTATGTTGTATCCCAACACCTTTACTGACATTTAAATCTGATAATGAACAAACTAATGAAATACATGTAACAGGATACAGAGTGAAGCCTGGCTGTGTGTTTCCTTCTGTTCGACTGTTTAAACGCTCTAAACTTAAATGATCGGCTCAATCGACGGTGAAATTAGTTGCCAGGAAACATCCCTAAAACATTCACCAAATGGCAAAATAGTGAATGTTTGTGGAAGAATATAAGATAAAGGTAAAGAAATAACTTTATTAGAGAATATTTAGCTTCAGTATTCTGTTTTCATATCAGCGCTCATCTGATAGCACATACGCTAAAATACAGATATATCTGCAATAGTTCGGATATCTGCCGATAAATGTGATTCTGACTGCAGGTTGTTTTTAAATGAGCATCCATACAGCAGTCAGATCTGGATATTGGATGTCCCACTGTCCCCCCCCGCCCCGAAGGTTTCCTTTCATTTGACACAAAGACCTCTTGACTGATCAACTCTGATATCTGAAGCACTTGACTGTTGACCACACACACACACACACACACACACACACACACACACACACACACACACACACACACACACACACTCTCTCACAGTGAGGTAAGGTAACACCCCTGTTGAGCATTGGCCCTGTTCCCTCAGCTGTGGACCTCCTCTCCACTGTGTGATTATGTTTCCTGATTTGGATGCTGACAACCTTCAGACAAACTCTCCCAAACTCACTGGCGGCTGTGGCGGATTCAAACGCACGTCGTCTTTTGAACGTGATGCGGTGAAGCGCGGCGGTCGTAGATGTTGAGTTGGTCTCAACTGTTGGATTTCGTCTCACGGGGGAAAAACAAGGGAAGCTGCCGAGCCAGAAGGTCATGGCGGAGCCGCAGCTACGTCGTCTCAGAGGCCAGGTACGCCGTCCGTCTGTACGCCGTCCGTCTGTTCGCCGTCCGTCTGTACGCCGTCCGTCTGTTCGCCGTCCGTCTGTACGCCGTCCGTCTGTACACGCTGCGTCTGTTGTACTGTGAACTTGGTTCCCAGTATCCGGTTTATTATTAAACTAGAACATAAAAACTGAAAGAGTAGCTGAAGAAGTATTTCTGCTGGTATTGAAAGTTTCCACAAGTCCTGGAAAACCTGGAAACACCTGGAGCCAGAAACTGTCTGTATTGAGATGGAGGAATCTGTGTTGGGTAAAATGTTGAAATGGCCACCAACAATCACAGATTGCCGATATATTCACACACTCTTAACGCCAATATATCGTCAGTCGGTGATGATGAAGGTCCTGGAAGGTCCTGGAAGGTCCTGGAAAGTGATATCTTGAAACGAGTTGGAACCCTGCTTTAGAGACCGCAGCCATAAAAGACCCTTTAATCCTTACTCTGGAGCTTTCCTGTTCTTCCCTGCAGGTCATCGGAGAGAGAGTCCACCTTCCTCACCCCGGCCCTGGGGAAGGAGTTGCCGTTCCTCGCCACGTCCCTCCTCCCCATCCTCTCCTCCACCCCTGTCGCCTCCGCCTCCCACAGCGGGGTCAGCATCAGGAAGCGGCGGCGGCTCGCTGCCAGTCCTGGAGGACTCCACTGGAACTCTGCAGGTGAGATCAGCCAATCACAAACCAGCACTTTGATTTATCTACGTGATTTATGTAAATTAGGGTGGACAAAATATTAGAAACACCTCCAACTGCAGCCTCCAACATGAACTTCAATCTCAGTTTGAAACACAAACACTGAACATTATAACCTTCATGAAGACAGCAGCACTGCTCAGGAGTTCAATCTGGATCCAGATTAAGGTTCTCTCGGTTGTCTCGGATGTGTCGATCTGATACAGTTCGTACATTTAATGTGTATTTGTAGCTCAGTTGTGTCTGGAAAGTGTTTTAATATCTCTCGTGTTGTTGCTCGTGCAAGCTGAGTTATCGTACACAGACTCCTTGACAGGTGTCACCATCAGTCTGTCCGACTTTCATTCTTCACCAATTCACCACTTCAGGGGGTACTGATGTGGTCGTATCTATATATATACTATAACTCGTATCAGTAAATCTTCACATCAGTAAAAACTACCCAATAGTATATCAATAATAAGTATTTCACAGTGGGGTTGGTGTTAGTTTAAATAATGGACCTGAACACGTATCCAACCCCCACAGCCTAACTGTGTGCTGTCCCTGTCAGTCCCTGTCAGTCCCTGTCAGTCCCTGTCAGTCCCTGTCAGTCGCTGTCAGTCCCTGTCAGTCGCTGTCAGTCGCTGTCAGTCGCTGTCAGTCCCTGTCAGTCCCTGTCAGTCCCTGTCAGTCCCTGTCAGTCGCTGTCAGTCCCTGTCAGTCCCTGTCAGTCCCTGTCAGTCGCTGTCAGTCCCTGTCAGTCCCTGTCAGTCGCTGTCAGTCGCTGTCAGTCCCTGTCAGTCGCTGTCAGTCGCTGTCAGTCCCTGTCAGTCGCTGTCAGTCCCTGTCAGTCGCTGTCAGTCGCTGTCAGTCGCTGTCAGTCACTATCAGTCCTGGAGGAGAGCTGGTTCCTCTCTGATCCGCTCTCTGTCTCCTTCAGAAGTTCATCCACAACGTTCTGGTTTGTGAACCCAGTGGAAACACAGCGCAGACCCTAGAACCCCCACAGGTTGTTAAAGCGCAGTGTCCAGTGGAAACACAGCGCAGACCCTAGAACCCCCACAGGTTGTTAAAGCGCAGTGTCCAGTGGAAACACAGCGCAGACCCTAGAACCCCCACAGGTTGTTAAAGCGCAGTGTCCAGTGGAAACACAGCGCAGACCCTAGAACCCTCACAGGTTGTTAAAGCGCAGTGTCCAGTGGAAACACAGCGCAGACCCTAGAACCCCCACAGGTTGTTAAAGCGCAGTGTCCAGTGGAAACACAGCGCAGACCCTAGAACCCCCACAGGTTGTTAAAGCGCAGTGTCCGGTGGTATGAAACCGACGGGTGGGCGATGATAAGAGCGCTCAGCAGGGGTCAACAGGTTTGTGTTGGTGGATACAAACAGGAAGCCGACCGACTGAGTTTGGGATCAGTGTGAAGTTGTGGACGTGCCGTCAGGAATGTTTATAACACACACACAGAACGTTGTTTATGCCGAGCAGCTTCCTGTGAGAGCGAGCTCGTCCTTTAGCTCCACCCTTCTGGAGAATGATAATGAGCTTCCTGTCAGATTACAGCTCAGGCTCCATCTTTGTTGTTTAAAATAGTCAGTTGGAAGAGTGCAACGGAGGGAAAACACTAAAGAATCAGCGTTTTAAGGAGATGAAATATGTATTTCTGTTCTTTCCTTCAGTTCACTGGATCATTTGTGTGTTTACTCGAGTAACAGAAGTTAATATTGTCCCTTTAATCTGTGTCACTGCAGCAGTTTGAGCCCAAAATAATCATCTGTTTCTGTGCTTCACTGTCAATAATCAGATCCAAATGATGGCGATCTGTATACAGTCTGGATTCAGACTCTGGGTTAGTTCATAGTAAACCAGTTGGAATCAGTAACAGACTCGTATCTTCCTTTGGTGGAGACTCTGAGCTGCGTCTCGTTCTTCAGATGTTTTTGTTCCCTCGAGGCGTTTAAAGCCTCTCGAGGATCCTGAGTTAGTGACTCTGTATATTGTGTTGATGGGATTATTACTGTTGTCTTCTGCCTGAATACCAAACATACTGTCAGCTTCCCATGACGAGGGTTTGACCTCGGGTCTCTGAGCTGCGTCACACATGTTGGCTCAGAGCGTCGCCCTTCTTCAGTGTTACTAAAGCGAAGACGAGCGTGTTGTTAAGAGGAAGATCATCACAAAGAAACGCTGCTGAACGAACAGTTTGTGTTGCCTCCAGAGAAAACTGAGCAGGAAGTTACTGTAGAGAGTGGGACAGTCACAGTGCCTCCACCAGAGGGCGCCATGACTCCAGCTGAGTGAGGAAGAGTCAACCCCAAACACACTCAGTGAACTTACAGTAATACGTTCAATACAACTGATAATCAGCATGCTTACACACAATAACGAACAACGCCACCTGTTTTCTGTCTGATTCTAAAAGCTGTGAGTGTGTCTGGATCATAACAGTGTTACTGCACCGTGAGTGATAAACACACTCAATTCATATAACCATATAAAGCTGTAATAGTAGGTAATAGGTGAGTAATAGAGTAATATTTCACCTCCTCCCTCCCCCGGTACCGTGACCCTGCTCAGGAATAGGAAACCTCTGTGTCCTTCACAATAAAAGCACCGTCTGCATACAATAATTCAAACTTTTATAGGATTCAACCTCAGTGCTGCCTACACATCTCCACATGTCGTTAATGTCTCATTATTTGGATTTTATTAGTTTTTTGTAGTTCAAATTAAAATTGTGATTGAAAAATAATAATTCCCATTTTAATGTTAAAAGTTATAGAAGTGTAATAAAGTCATTATCTGTGAGATTACAGTAATTATTGCTGTTTAGACTGATAACAACTGTATTTGGACAGTTTACCAATGCTTATACACTGGTAAACAACATTTATTCAACGTCCATCATTATACAACATATCTGTCAGTTAACTAACTAATACATTAAAATTACACAACTAATACTTTTACTGTTAATGTCACTAATTTAACATCATTTTATCAATTATTAACAGTATTAAACATGACAGTTTAATACATTAAATATCTGAAAACATTATATGTGAGTAAATGCATTTTAATCTTTTTTTGTAAAAAAATAATAAGTTGACCATGTTTAATATAAAATAATGTGAAAAATCACATTATTTTATATTAAACATGTAAATTCACAGAATATTAATGTAATTTTATTAATATTTCCATCTAAGTTCAATACTGTTTTATTGCAGTTACAACAGTTCGACAGCTGTCTGTCTGTCTGTCTGTTTGTCTGTCTGCCTGTTTGTCTGTCTACCTGTCTGTCTGTCTGCCTGCCTGCCTGTCTGTTTGACAGATGAGGTTCAATCAGTGAAAGTCGGCTCAGATAAAATTTTTCAAACTTGATGTGTCAAAATGTTTCTTTCCAGCAGAAAACACCAGTTTTTATTTTATTTTGCAATATTGCTGCATCACCACCAACAGTCATTATATACATTATATGCACATATAATGTATATATGTTAGTTAAATGTACAGTCAGTGGATCGTGCTCTCTGTCTGTGGAGGTTTTGGAACCGGAGATGGTTTTATTATTTATTAATGTTGTTTATATACAGCAACATTAAAGTAATATAATGTTATATAATCTAAACTGTACAAATAAAATCTGCCAGAAAAACACATATTAGCGCCAATAGTCTGAAAACAAACAAACTCTGTAACTAACGTATTCATTTAGACCCTGAAGACTCAAACAGGATGAACACACTGTTTATCTCCTCATGTAGATTTAATGCAGCAGCTCAGGTAGTCTGACACCTGATCACACACACACACACACACACACACACACACACACAACAAACACACACACACTCTGTAACGTGTGTGTGTGTGTGTTACAGAGTGTGTGTGTGTGTGTGGTGTACAGTAACATCAGGGCGTCTCTGGTTGCTCTCGTCCAGGTTCGGTGCAGCGCGACTTCTGGTCACCTGATGTGTCTCCGGTGTCGGGGGGGAGCCCGGCAGCAGCAGCAGGAGGTGCGAGGAGCCTCCCCCTGGCTGAGGGAGGCGGGGCGGCGTGGTCCAGCGACCGGGCGGCCTTGAGGAAGACGGTTTCGGTTGACGACCGCCTGCTGCAGCCGGCGGGCGGAGAGCTGCCACACCTGAGACTGCTGAGTCGGCTGGAGAGAGGACGGAAGAAGCTCCGCAACATCCACGTGAGTCTGTTCACACTCTCTAAACTTTATACATTATCACAACAACAACAACAACAACAAGGACACAACTCTGCTCTGTGTGCGTGTTGACGGTCGTCCTTTAATGAACGCCGCTGTATTGTTGGTGCTTGTGTGACAGCGTTTGCTGCTCCAAGGTCGAGCGATTGTTCCCCGCGGTCGAGCTCTCATCGTGGCTTTGTTTGCGTCTGTCTGTGTTTGTTTGTTTGTTTTGTTGCTCTGTTGTTGAGTGCTTTAACCGTCCTCTAACGGCGCTCATTGAACCTCTCCAGTTCCACACTCACTGCAGTGAGTCACAGGCTGACACACGGCCCATAATGCACTGCAGATGGACCAATGAATCTGCTCAAATTAGAAGATTGTTTTGTCATATTCACAACTTTTGGCTCCAGAGAAGAAAAAATAAGTAAAAAAAAAAAAGTTCATCTCTGAAGAATTTGACGTCATCGTGTGTTTGTGCTGCTCTGAGTCAGGAGACCAGAATACACCAAAGGATCCGGATATTATTATATTATTATATATTATATTATATTATATTATATTCACTATCTCTTTATAACAGGTTCATTATCTGTGTGTAGTACACTGTGTGTAGCACAGAGGGCTGGTAGCTGTATCAGCTGTCGGGTTTTCTGGTTGTACTAGAAAATAACTTATTTATGAGCCCAGAGAGTGTGACTACTTAAAGCTCCAGCCTCTGAAACACAGTGTGAGAGGAAGAGGGAAGGAAGAGGGGAGGATAAAGGGGAGGCCACTCCAGAACCCCCCTCTGAACACGGCCCTGGTCACCGTGAAGTGAAAGAGCAGCTGTGTGCAGGAAATGGACTTGACAGGAAGTGATTGCTGGTTTTGGGACTGTAGTTCTGGACGTTAACGGGGTCCTGTGTGATCTCTGTGGTGGACTCACTCACTCACTGATGAATCAATGATGAGGCTGCGATGTGGGCGGGACTGATACATCTGATGTCTGAGTAAACAGGCCGACTGCTGCGTTCCTTATTGAGCACTGAGTGGGATTCAGGAGGATGTGACGGATCTATTTTTGTGGGTCTTTGAAGGTCAAAATCTGTCTTACATCATCTGTGTCCGTTATTGCCGAGGAGGAAGAACCTGTTACAGTTTGGAGCAGATATACCGAATATATTCTTCACTCATACGGCAAAATGATCTGAATCCACTGCATGTGTGCAGACCCGTCTTTTTAGTGAATAATGTGCAGATTGTAAGATTGTATATTATAGGACAGTGTTTCCACAATATGCCCCCAGGGGTACAAGACATTCATTAAAAAAATGTAATTAATTGCATAATTCCTAAATGAATTACACTATTTTAAGTTAAGTTCAATAAACCACCTTTTATACTCAGTATTCGTATTTTCAGTGCAAACATTAGCCGCTGGAAAAGAAAGGCAATGAGGAACCCAGTTTCAATATTGACTGATGAAAATCAAGAAAACGTATTTCACTGGACCAAAAGGACCTGGATCTGTGATAGAGCCCGGTCTGTGATCTTCATGATCCGATCACATCTTGGATACTACCGTATTTTTGTGTGTTTATTCCAGTGTAACGTAGCAGAAATACAGCTGAAAAACACAGAGAAAGAAGAGAAAAAGAAAGCAAAAACATCCCAAAAAGCTCCGTTAATATCAGGAAGATTGTTTCAATGAGCAGGATCCCTCCTGAGATATTTTACAGGTTGTTGACACTGATGGTGCGGCGCTGGATTGTATGCTACCATAAATGTTTTTCACTGGTCAGAGGTAACAAATATTTCATGTTAAAGAACCTTTGTAGTTAAAGCTGTGGGGCAGTGACATTATATTACATTGGCATTGATGGCATTGATCTGATGTTTCTTAATGACAATATTCAGTTGTTTTGGGTTTGACACTAATGAGAAAACATCTCCTCTCCTGTCCACTACAAGTGTTTCCTGTTCCAGTTCTCCCACAGTAACCATTGCTCCTGTCCATACTGGCTGTGAAGACACAACTACACTCTTAAAGCTCCAGTGGGAAACTGAATATAATATTCAGAGTCCGCCATGTTGAACACAGAGCCCAGAGCAGCTCTAGAAAGGCTCCTTCGGGTTATTGCGACCACCATAGTTTCTCCTACTTTAGCTGAGTTGTCCTTAAATGGCCACCGTAAAGAAGACAAACATTTTCCACAGAAAGGTTTGTCTCCATTTTCCTCCCGTGGTGTCTGCAGTCTGGTCTCTTACGTTGAACCTAATGGCAGTTTTATTGCTGACAGTTTCTCAATGGATAGATGCTGTTTGGAAAAGAGTGCTGCAGTTCTTCATCCATGCTGATGTAAATTCCTCCGTTCTGGCTGTGTGGTGATAAAGGAAGCTCTTTTAGTGTGTGTGTGTGTGTGTGTGTGTGTGTGTGTGTTTTGCAGTTGACGGATGGCTCTGCTTCTCCTCCTGCTGCCTGTAGAGTCTGATTGATTTAGCTCTCTCTCTGTCCTTTTTCTAACTCGTTTTCCAGTCTCTCTGAGGCTCAGCTGTCACACTCCGGGCGCTCACAGTCCCGGTGAACTATGGTCCGAGCGGTGTGTGATCTGTGACTCACACAGAGGACGCTGGTGAAACACATCATTACCGCGCTCTCTAACCTCCAGTCATTTCCCACGGTTCCTCCGGCCGCAGCGCCCGGCCGCTGGCTTCATGAACTGTGACTCCAGTAAATGTTCACATCTCACCTGCTGTGACTGCAGCATCTGTGAGGCCTCTTCTAGACTCTCCACATGCTATCGGTCTGTGGATCAGATTCTGAGAGTGAAACAAGTAACATTGAAAACAAACTGCTTCACAGTTTATTGGGCCACTGTACATGATCAGTTCCTGGTGGAACATCTATTTTAAACTATTTTTAATCCATTAAAATCATGATGATGTGACATTTGCATAGTGCAAATCTGGTGATATTTGGATTAATTGTGCAGCTCTAGTACCAATAAAGGTTTATCAATGCCTACTTGGAGGACAGTAAAGTACTTTTCTGGTCAATCATCAAAATCATTGAACTACTTTAGTTGGAAACCCCGTTGGAAAGGTAGAAAGTTTCCCAGCATGTAAACACAGGAGGTAAAGTACTGGAGCCTGGTGACATTCTGCTCCGTTGTCTCAGTAAATAATAGATTTCCAGGCAACGCAGGCAGCCAGGTGACAGCACAGAGACAGAAACACGTCTTCAGTCCCGCCACCGATGGAAAAATCCTCCCCAGCAACCCCCTGGGTGTTTACCTCTGCGTTGTAAAACAGAGGAAGGAGTTGTCTTTTGTGTTTGTGGAAGGTTTGTGCGCAGGCCGGAGAGAACGCAGCAGGTGGTCGGCAGAGGGAGGCACGTTGCATTATGCAAGACAGCTTCATTACAGCGCTGCTCGTTATAATCCTCCAGAGACCCTGATTCACCCCTCAAATCCACCTGAATCTGCTAATAAATATACACCTTGTGTCCGTTCATCCGTCCAGATCCGACTGATTAAAGCGAATTATCGAGCAGGTAACGATTCTGTATTGCATCCTGCAGAGATTCCTCCAGTTCGGTTTCATTTTCCACCAAATTGAGTCTCCTGAGAAACAGTTTGTGCCCCTGAGGATGTTTTTCTTTTATGCTCTGAAAGGCTCAATGAATCAATATGAGCTTCACAAGAAGACAAAACAGCAGCAGGTGGCGCACATTGTTCTGTGTGATTGGTGCATGAAAGATGTGTAACTGTTTGGTTTTTTGGCGGCTGAGTGAAAAACATTCTTCTGAATGATATTACGCTGAACTGATATTGGTACCTGGAGTTCAGTTCTTTATGCTTTCTGTAATACCAACAGCTTAACTTAAGTTATCCTCCTCCTAAAGGCCTCCACATCATACCTTAATGCCTGATAATGGACACGATTGTCGCGCTGGTACAATGGTCAGTTGTCAAAGAAAAAATCATTATTTTCTATGTTTTTCAATCAAAATCTAAAGTTTTTTTTGACAAACAATAACTCCTGAGGTCCTTTCTAATACCTGGAAGAGTCATTACCATCCCATAATGTTCCAGTAAATAGGATGAACCATAGATACGACTTAGCAAAGGGAGCTTTTTCTAGTTCCCTGCAACCGTTGACCTTTGCTGTAGCTTCAGTTGATTTGATAAAACAAGTAATAATAAGGCAGTTGGATTGAAGGCTGGAAATGACCTCCGCCCTGGTAGTTTTGTGACCCAGAATACCTGCTGGTTGTGTTTCCATGAAGCTCTCAGGTACAGTGATGCTTTCCGCCTGTCCTCTGGTTCACAGAGCAGCTGTTTGTCTGTTCAGCACCAGCAGGGGGCGAACTCGTCCTCTTATCCCCCCTTTCCTCCCTCCTCTCCTCCCTCCTCTCCTCCTGAGGAATCACTGCTGTTTTTTTTGGTTTTGCGGGGGGAGCTTTTAGGACTCTCCCGCTGTATTCTGGCAGTCAGGTTCAGTAAATAAATAATTCCCGCTCATATTGCTCCTCTCTGAGCGAAGCTTAAAGCTTTTAAATCTGGAGTGGAAAGTTTGAGAAGAGCTGTGACAATTTAATCAGGCCGACTGTGAGCCGGCAGCTGTCTCACTTCACCTTTTCCATCAGGGGAGAGAAAACACAGTGTTTTATGGCCCGAGGAGATCCAGGCAGTAAATTGACCTGCTGGCTGACGGCGCTGATGCAGATAGATACAGATAGATTCATCAAAAGAAAGCTGAAGAGGACGGCGGCGGTGCATAGCTGAGGCTGTGTCACTGTGTGTGCGTTTGCTGACACACGTTGGCAGAAGCAATCTTCTCGGGGCCGAAGAGGCGGTTGTCATTCTTTATCTTTCTAATAGATACTGTGACCCTGGTTGGGCCTCTTCCTGAGTCCACTGCTATATTTCCATAGAATTCAGACAATCAGAAAACACTGCAGATAAAACTGCCTGAGTTCAGACAGACAGAAGTTATGATTATGATTGTTTTTTCCTTTT